GTAATAATTTATTTTTTAATATTCACAGCTATAACTGTGATTTAATTTCAAACAAATTATATAATAACAGCTATACATACAACACGTTATAATAAACGGTTTGGAATAAGGTCATTGCATTTTGCCGGTGTACCTATACTACCTAATCGTTTTAAAATCCACAGAGAATGTAGGTAAGCAGATAAAAAGAAAGCAAGACTTGTATGTGTATGTATTTAAGTATTATAAAATAGGCAATGAAACTAATTTTAAATCGATAGTGTGTTTGGGCTGGAAGTCCGAGAAGATTCGTTCATTCGCAGTGTTCAATGTTTGATTTAAAATAGTCGTCTGTCAATGCTTATAAAACAGTTTTAAACAAATGTTTTAGTTTTACAATCAAAATTACAATATAAAACAAATAAAGTATATGTACTGAATATGCAAATCATAACCGGTTATAATGTAATGTTAATGTTTTTTTTTTAATAAGTAGGTACGAAACGATATCAGGTATAGAGCATTTTTTTTTAATAATTACTAATAATTTGACATTAGAAAATATATATAATATAAATTCAAACGTGTAATGATTATAAATAATGTAGATGATATAAATATCTATCTAGGTATTCGATTGGCGAACAATAAAGTTTTAGTCTTTATAGATAGGATCTATAGGGCATATAATAATAATAATAATAAGTAATAGGTAAGTAATATATTATCATTATAACTCAATATCGACGACAATTAATGTACCTTTACAATAACCACTTGTAATAATATTTATTTTTATGATATTAATCTTAAATTGCGAATGTCAATAAATATTATACATCCGTGTTCCGTTCAAGATAATAAATAAATGAACGAAGTGTTTAGTACACAACATAATATTCTTGTACCGATCCATCACAAGGTTAATTTTATTATTAAAATTTTATATACTAGTATATATTCGCATACCCTGTCGTTTGCACTCTACTGAAGGTGTTAAATAAATAAATATAAGTAATTTGTACACAATAATATATTCCTGTGCTTATACACTGCAAGGTTAATTTTATTATTAAAACACTATAGTATACATTCGCATGTCCTGTCGATTGTACTTTACTGGATGTGTTACCTATTTATGATACCAAAAACTTAGTGGTTAAACTTTTAAAAAATAGGTTGGTTTTTTTAAATTAAATAAAAAATTACTGTTTTATTCGTATAATCAGAACTTTATGCGGTTCGCCATGATCACCATTATAGGTTATCCTCTTGTCAATATCAGTTCACTTAAAAACTATTACCCATCTATGTTAATTAATTTAAAGTAGGTAATAAAATGGTAATAGAACTAAACAAAAAATAATAATGTTTTAGACGTACACTTTTCCAATGTAACTTTTAATAAACTGCTTTTGTGTTAAGTCATCAGTTAGTTTTGAGCAAACCGGATGTTACTGTCCGCATTTATTTGCAATACTGCGACAGCATTTTTTAGGCTAATGACGTGTAACACGTTAGAGATAGTTGTATGTGTTTAAAATATGATTCTTAATTGAAAACAGTTTTATATTTTGCAATCAATTGTGAACCCTGTATAATTTTATATCCTAACATATTTAAATAATTATGATTAATTAAAACTCGTTATTTGGAAAATCGTATTATAATTACCCTGTACGGGACCTTGAACCCATCGCAGGTGGACTGCAATTGTTTTATTGTAAAACGAAATTTCGCTTACGGTTAAATTGCATTTATTGTAATTTAAATACAACCGGGCGGTTGCGGCATGCGTACAGAGCGAAACGACGACCAACTTATATACATGGTCCGCGGAGGGACTCAACACTACAACAACCGGTTTTAACCATAATAATGGTAACAACAATAATAATAATACACAAATGTAACATGCCGCCCGCCTTGAAATAATTTTCAACAATTAAATGTTAGTATACTAACAAACAAACAAATCAATTTAAATAAAACATTTTTTTTTTTTTTGTTATATTAGGTAGTTTCTGTATTATCCTCAAATGGTAAAGGGCATAGTTTGCGGACCGCTCTCCGAAACATACCGCCCGCCGTGTGAACATCTGCTACCCGTGCAACGCCATCCTCGCCCAGAATAAGGTTAACAACCCGTCCGAGACGCCATCTCAGAGGGGGTAGATTGTCCTCGCGCATAAGGACGACTGAACCGACCTTCAGCTTTGGCCCCTTCTCAGTTACCCACTAAGCTAACCTAACTGTACTTAACTTACCTAACCTAACCTAACTGTAATAGTGCTTCTAAAATATTAAGACTTACTTGACAAATATCTCCAGCTTTTGTTGAATTTTTGTGAGGCGAGGTTAGGTTTTATTGAAATTGTATGAAAATGTTTAAGAATACAATTTATTCGTACAGATGAAACAAAACCAATTGCATACTGAATTTCCAAAACAGAATAGTATTAATATACTAACAAACATAATTATAGATCAACGCTTATCATTTCAAAATTGCTTCGCGTTATATTAAATTGCATTAAGCCCATAATTGACAATTATTGTTAGTTTTGTTTGATTATAATATCGTTCTGTACAAATGCAGATGATTAACGGTAGTGGCAATTTAAAAATCATCTACTAGCAACATTCTTTATAATATTCTGATTACTTTAGTTTGCCTAATTATTAGGATAAATGGATGCATAAATACATTATCATCAGCTTAACCAATAAGGCCCAGCGCTGACATCATGAGAGATAATTAAAATAATATTATAAAATATGCTGCAAGTTGTACTTTTCTTCAAACACCTTGATAAACTAATTGTATAATGATATGTATAAAATGATATGCAGCTAAAATACCAAAATAAACAATTTCATAACAAAATATTTTGTTTATTACGATTATTTTGTTACTTTGTACGATTGTTTATTGTTGGTGTTTGATTTATTTCAAATAAATTTGTCTACAAAACTTTCTGTAAAGTTAACACCATTTAATAATTTTAAAAAAAATGTATTTTTGACACAATATAATTTGTAGTATGATAACTTCGATATAGACTATATCATATAGTCTAATTTAAGTAATATTGTTTTTTTTTTAATTGTTCTGTTTTTTTCTTTAATTTTTAATCTGCAGATAGAGCTAATATATAACTTTTAATTTTCTATTCCGTAAAACTTCAAATGAACCATTAATTTTGTCTGTAGTTGAAAATAAATTGAATTTTAATTCGTTGCTATACTATTTGGATAATTAGGTATAATAATATATATATATATATAAACATATATATTAATATTTAACAAGCTTTTGAGTTTTAGTCATAGATGATGTGACAAAAGCGTATTAGCTTCAGTAAAATAAAATAAACAAACTTGTCAAATTTAATTTTTTTAATCACAAAATAATTAAATATTTTTTTAATTAAAATTGGTTTCGTTTGACGTTTTAGACCAAAAATCCAGACAAAATTTCGACTACTTAGGATGGTCCATTTAAACCTCTTATTTCTTAAATATTGCCTATACAAAACTCCTTAAAAACAGACTGCACGTAATCCGCTTAATAACTTAACCTAACGTGACAGTAATATAATATATTTTTTTAATCATAAAACTACATAATGAATGCAAGTAAAATAAATATCGTTATTATAAATTGAAAATAGGCACCTAAAAAATGTTACTTTAGAAGATTTAAAAATTATGTTAAATATTATTACATAATTAAACGCGTTTTTTTAAGGCGTTTTATATAGGCAATATGTAAGATAATAAGAAGTTTTAATAAATTTCGACCATTCTAATTTTTTTCATGTTAATTTCTATAAGCTTCGTGGTATTATATTTTTAAAGTATACATTTTTTTTTTTTTAAATTAAAGCCATTTTGGTGGTACAAGAAACAAATTTATACCTAAAAAACCTGATAAAATAACGCTTACTTAAAATCATTGGTGGAGTTGTAAGTATCCCAATAAAATATTATTCAGGTTATGAAGATTTCCTTGTATATAAATAATGCAAAGTTATAATGTACAACCATTGAGTTATTTATAACTTCTATAACTGAAAAATATCATAAATCCTATTTTCTTTTTTGACTTTAAGATCTGAAAACTTGACTGAAGGTAGCTCTAGAATGGGCCTTTATGACAATACCCAAAAGAATTCTTAAAAATCTCTAGTCAATTATATTTTTAAGACGAAAATTATACTGAAACAGTTGTCATTATCAAGATCGCTATGTATTTTCATTATAATACTGTAATTCTACCATCGACAGATGATAATATATCCAAAAAACTTGTGACTTCTTTTACACCACTAAACTGTTTTTTTTCTGTAGCCGTAATGTACATCACCAGGATGAAACGTTTTTGCTTTAAATCCCTAGAACCATTATTTAAATATGTTACAAAAAAAAGTAAAAAAATTGCACAATTTAACACACCTTCAATTAAAAATGTAGTTTGTAGTTGCACTTATATATATATATAAAAAATAAAAAACTTTGCTAATTACTATAAGTTTTTATTTCTACCTTTTAGTTGGTTTATTTTGGTTCCCCTTAATGTACTTTCAAATTTTTTTTTAATTGGTTACAACGTCAACCAAGGTGTCCGTTTAAGTTATGGGTTTAGGTACCCCAGTAATGGAAAATTCTAAAAAAAATCAAGTCAAACGTTCCTGACCTATTTGACAATAGAATATATTTATTAAAATAGGTACGGATTTATGAATTCGAGTCTCATAGTTGCTAGTTTTGAACAATAAAGGTTTTTTTTATAGAGAAAACCCGTTAGATACTTAACTTTAAAACAATTAAAATTTTAAATTCTATGTTTACCTCATTATAATTAACAATTGCCACAATATATGTTTTTACCTTTAACTTTTTAAAATTTGATTACAAAATAGATACGTGTGTAGAACGTTAATACATAATATATTTATATATACATTTCAAAGAATTTTTGTAAGACAAGAAATGTGAAAAATGAAAATACATTTAAAATATGTAATAAAAAACAATTTTTTATTAGGTATAAAATACTTGAATACAATGTGTTTGTATGATGTACTGTAATGTATTTGTACAAAGTTTTGATTTGTACACAAAAATTGTCAAGGAAAAATCAATTAAAATATGTTCTATTTGACTTTCGGAATAGGTCTAAACACACCTACTACAACTGCATGGTCTCTTTCGTAGGGTTCTAATGTTAACTGCTCGGTTGGTTTCAATTTATCATTTTTTAGTTTTTCAATTTCTTGAGCATAGACGGCGGCCGGTTCGGCTGTACTGTCAATGCAATTAGCCTGAAATCAAATATTATTAGTAATTAGGTAATTTGTGACATATATATATATATATATATATATTGATAATGATTAAAAACAAACTTACTTTAATTGATATTACAAAATGACCTTCGTTCTTCAAAAAATAATGTGCGTTTATTGAAACGATTCTGGCTTGGTCGGGCTGAGCTACGTCGGCGAAAATTGTATCTACCATTCCAATTAACATTCTATACTTATGTGGATGTCTGGCGTCTTCAATAATAGGAATGATATTAGTTCTTTTTTTGGCTACATTGATTAAATCGCGACCAGATCTATGTGAGAATTCTACTGCGTACACCAACCCTTCCTATAAAGAATAATATTTTTGTTAAGTGTGATACTAAGAGATTTAACCCTGCATTGGTTGCGTAGATTACAAGGGTAATCTATATATTACTTTTATATCATTTTTAAATGGATTTGAGCTAAGTTAAAAATGTTAAAATAAGGGTTAGCATTTCATACATCATGCATTATAAAGAATATTGCTTAAATAAAATATGAAAACTATAATATTTTGCTTTGTAGTACCTAACAATTTTTTAAAACATTACATCGTTTGCGTGTTTTTTATATGGTACTTAGGAGTTGTAGTATTACAATAGTAATCCATCATTTTTTTTTTATTATTAACTGGATTAGAGTTAAGTTAAAAAATTTTAAGTAGGAAAAAATATTCAGTTATTACAAAAAAAAAAAAAAATGAATTTAATAAAATATGCAGCCTAATTTTTTACTTCATATTAATAATTTATATAATTCATAAGTTTTCTCGCATGTAGTCCATGGCATACAACTATAGTCTAATAGATTTTAATCATTACACTTGACGCCAATAACTTTCGGTAACTAACTGATATTAGGTAATATGTTGTTTGTTTGAAGGTACTAAAACAAGTAACTCCAGTGAATTTCAAAGGAATAAAATTAATTTATAACGAAACAAATCATAATCCATGCAGTCGATACAGGGTTTATTTCGGTAGAGTATTAAAATAGATTTTTTTTTCAATTTATAGAATAACAATGAAACACATATTTGCTTTTATCTGAATACCTATCAGTTGAGTGCACATTTTGTAGTTGAAACTTATTAGGACCAATGTTTGAATTGTATTAACTAATTATACTTTACTATGAGAAAATGTACTATACAATTTGTTTAATTTTTATTAATCTGTATTCTATACTTACTGGGCCAACAACGTCAGAGACATGAGATACGGTCGTACCACTAGCAGCGCCTAAATAAAGTACTTTGGAACCAGGCGGCATATGAATTTCATCTATACCACCTAAAATCGCTGCAGCTAATTTGGATCTGAATGGATTCCATACACGGTATTCAATTTTTTCTCCCTCAGTCTGGAAAAATAGATATGTTGTATAAAATTCATACGTAATAATATAAACAGTGATTGCAAGTGAAGTTTACCTGATCAACGCTAATTCTCTTTTCACCGTAAATTGTCTCTCCAGGAATCAAATTCTTAGTTACGAGAGCGTCTTCTTTACCACGGGCAATGAATACGCCGGCGTGACGATGAGGTTCAACGATAACTTTTTTGCCTCCTTTAAATCCACCAGGTCCACCGGAAGGTCTGCCACCTCCTCGGCCACCACCACCACGGCCGCCGCCTCCGCGTCCGCCACCACCTCGTCCTCTGAAACCGCCGCCTCCTCTGCCTCCGCCAAAACCGCCGCCACCTCCCCTACCGCCGCCGCCTCCTCTACCTCCGCCAAAACCACCGCGTCCTCCTCCGCCTCCTGAAAATCGGGCACCACCTCCACCTCCTCGTCCACCTCGATCAAAGCCTAAAAAATTGAACACATGTAGTTATAAAAAAAGAAAAACGTTTATTGGCTGTAGGTAAAACACTAAAAACAAAAAGCATGTAATTTGTATAATAATAATTTATGATATTGTTTACCCATTATAGTTTTGAAGACAGAAGTACAAAATTGTTTAACAAAAATTAATTTAGAATAACGATTGCAAAAAAACAAACGAAAAATTTACAATATTTTTCAAAAAATAAACACGTGTATGTTATTCCTGCGGGCCGTGGATAGCGGCTTCAAAACATTGTTGCTGCATGGACTGTGGTAACCGCACATTGTGGATTCAGCCATGTGACATGCGCGCACGCGCATTTCTATCATACACCGTCTTACAGTGACTTCGCTTAAAGGGAATTTGCATTTTTTGTTATGGCAACACTGTAGCTACAGAGTGAGAACTATACTGATTACCGACTGTTATCTCCTCTCATTTTTCATAATATTAAAATTAATATTATTTCCCGCATTTTTATTTCTCCGGTAAATACTAAATCCGTAAATGATATCAAGGTTATTATCTTAATCAAAATTATTATTTCATCTTAGATCTGATCATTGTTTTATTGTCATATAAATATTAGCCATTGCCTGTTTCAGGTGGTTTGTACTTTGTCTTCAACTAGTAAGTATAAATGATGAATAATAATTGTGCTTTGATAGATATAGTATCCACTGTTCTGTATTAGTTTTATAGAAAGAAGGCATTTGCAGGTACACGATTTATATAGACTTGTAAAATTAAAAACACCTAGAATGTTGACTATTATCTGTATATAAAAAAAATAACACTTCATTGTCAAATCGTCTGGTGAAAAGTAGATTCCATCCCCTTCTCCAGTGACGACTGACGACCCGTCCTGAACAACGAATTCGTCTAGAAACTATCATTTCATGATGGCAAAGTTGGGCCTTAAAGGCCTGTTAAGCAAATGTTGATGATGCTGATTAAGTGTTAATTAAGCACTACAATCATAACCTGATTAAATTGAATTATTCTTTATTATTATTGCTAAATATTCTTATTACAAATTAATTAAGTTTAATCATTTAAAAAACACTTTCTTACCATTGCAATGTTGATCAAAGAAATGATCACTAGTTATTTGTAATTATTAATTATTTTTATTGTTTTCCAGGTAAAAAAACATCATTCTTCATTATGATAATTCCCATTCGTTGTTTTACGTGCGGCAAAGTTATAGCCAACAAATGGGAGAGCTACTTGGGCTTATTACAAGCTGAATACACTGAAGGGTAAGTTCAGATGAATTTTTTTTCATCTATAAGTGAATTTTCAAAATACTTGTTTTTGTATTCGAAATATAATGAATGTGTCGGATTTTAGGTATCGATAGTTGCTGTGTGTGTTTTATTTAAAACGTTAATACTCATTTTTCATAATGTTGTTCCATCTTAAAATATTTTTTTTCTTACAGTGACGCGTTGGATGCTCTTGGATTAAAAAGATACTGCTGTAGGCGCATGCTTCTGGGGCACGTCGACCTTATCGAAAAGCTTCTCAACTACGCGCCTCTTGAAAAATAAACCTCCATTAAAATTTAATGAAAATTATGTATTTATAAAATAACTTTTTTTGTCTACCTATGTAAGTAATAAATATACATATATTTTTTTTGATACCAAACTTTTCTGTAAATCTCTTAAATATAATATTTCCATCAAAATTATCAACACCGTTTAAGCCTAATTGTTGTTATCGAAATAGAATTTAGGCCTACGAGTTATATTAACGGCGATTTTTGTAGACGGGAGTGTAATGTATGTCTTGTAACCATTTAAACTTAAACAACTGAAAGACATAATTCAAAATTGGTTATCGAACAGCAGAATAGGGTATTATTCAAATAGTTTATTATCTAAATAAAGTTGTTAATAGAAAAAAAATATATTATTTAATAATGTTTTATATTAGGTTATTTATCACAAAATATTTTTTCATTGGACTTTTTGATTTATTATTTGCTGATAATGTTTCTTATTCTTTTTTTTTTTAATTAATTATTTTTAATTTGATCAAAGTATTTTAAGTACATTTGTGTACAGATGATAAATCAACTTAAAAATGATCTTAGAATAAAAAATAAATGATTTAAGATAAATTATATTTATATTTGTTTATTAAATAAATAGATTTAAAATTGTCAAAGACAATATTTCATCTATAAACAATTTATTCATAATGTTACGAATAAAGTTATTAGACGAATAAAAAGTCATCTATTATTTATAGATATGAATATTGTGCAAATTCAAAAACAAGTGCAAATTATCAAGTACTATAATTTTGAAACAAGTGTAACAAGAACGACGACTTAAACAGCATTTGATAAAACTTCGTATTTTCATTTTTAATAGAAGAGGTAGCTTTTGCTAACAATAAGAATTTAGTTTGATTTAATAGTTGACTCTTTTTTTGAACAAAACTTTAAAATTGTATTTTATTCATTCAATCCAAATCTACTTTCAAATTTTCTCTAGCACGCCTTTTTATTTTTTTTAATCGCTATTTAAAAAAAAACACCTTTGAAATCTTTTTAATGTGTTTCAAATTGAGTAAACTGTAAGAAAATGGGACTTTTTTTTATTATATTTCTGTTCTTCTGAATTAAAAAATATTATATAAAAGTTTTTTTTTTTAAACAAAAGAATTGGAATTTTTTTATTTTAGTTTTGTAAGTTGAAATATTTTTAAGACCGAAATAATATAAATTTAATTAATTGAATTGCTTCTTCTTCTTCGAGAGAAAAAATACAAATTGTTGGGAAAACACAAAAACAGTTTTCTTCGTAACTCAAAAGTTTTTAAAACATTTTTTTGGAATAGGAATGAAAAGTATTAAAATAAATCAAAAACGGTTAACTTACCAAAGAATACACACCACTGAACATAACAAAAAAAAAAAATGATTGAAAGAATAAAAAAAATTGTTTGTCTCGCTCTAAAAAACGGTTTGCTGCCAAAAGTTATTTTATTAAAAACAACGGTGACTTAGGTATTCCATACCTTGAATAAGCGGTTCAATTAAAATACAATCATTTAATTAGTGACACGTTGTATAATTTCATTTTAAAACTGTCTTTTTTAAATTTTCTTCTTTTTGCCATTAACTATAAGCTAATACAAGTGGTTGTTTAAACTAAATAAACATACTCTCTGCGGGATACTGCTACACTGTTGGGAGATGGGACACACGTGTAACAAACAAATGTTCAATATTGTAAAAGAAAAAACGGCGAATAATGTTTGTTGTAAAATTTATTATTATAATTTTTTTAGTCATCATTGTAAGTTGTGCGCATGAGAAAAAATAAACGCGCCCTTCCTACTTTTCAAACGTTGTGGGAATCGTCATTGGCAGTGTAAACGTTTATTTTGCACACAATATACACCGTTCAGTCGTCAGTTCAAAACGATCTACACACACCCGTTACAGCAAAAGTATACTTGTCTGTTTTAAGTTTTTTTTGTGTAATTACCCTAAACGTACATACACTATGTCTGGACGCCCCATGCTGTGGCAGGTAAGATACAAATCTGCTAAGAAAATTATATTTTACACTTGCACAATGTACGTTTAGCTGAATTTCGACATGGCCGATTTATGGTTAAAAAAAAAAATGAGGCAGACCAATGAATAAAATAGTTTAGAATGCAATTAAAAACCGTAAAAAATTGGCGCTTAATATTTAAAAAAAAAAAAAAACACCATTGCCGTTGTTCGGTTTGGAAGTTGAAAACGTGAAAACAGTGTCTCCAGTTATGATAATTATTAAATTAGTTTTTTCATTTGTTTCTTTAAGTATGGAAAAATAACAGGGTGATTCCACCAGTGAAATCAACACAAAATTTGTTAGCTATTTTTATATGTATAAAAAAATAAAAAAAGCAAATTTTGGCCTCCCAAATGTATTTTTGTGTGCTTTACTATTAATATACAATCTTCACATTTTCATTGTAATTATGAAAGGCAGTTAGATAGAATGTTTTTGGAAATCTTTTACTTGATTTACGACATGGCACTATTCAGTTGTTTTTTAATTAATTTTTTTGTTTTAAGCTCTTCTCACTGACAATAATACATTTTGAAATTTTGGCACGATAAATAATAGAGTGATATAGTTATAGTAAGATTTTTTTTTTAAGATCAGTTTTTATTTTATATTTTATTTAGAATATTTTAATTGATTTTATTATTATTGAAATGGGTTGATAATATAATTTTTCAATATCGAAATGAGTGATTTTTAATTGTGGGGAAAAGATATAATTTATAGATTTAGATAAAGAGATTTTCGAAAAAAAAATTATTTCAATATTTCGGAATAACTGTTAAAATATTGACATATTTGTGACCAAAAGGTTAAGCTTAAATGTGTTAACCACGGTCAGTTTACAACAATGTCAAAAATAATAATATTGAGGTTATATTATAAGAATTATTCTCTATTATCAAGCCTTCACTTGTTTAGTAGTTTCTCTAGAAATACAGGGTGATCCAACGTGAACGTAAGACACTCATTTTCTTTGAAAATATGAATATTTAGAGAATGTTTTTCCCCAAAACTTTTAGGTACATATTTTTCAATATTTTGAAAATTTTTACTACCAATCCTTATAAGCCAAAAAGGGGGATTTTTGGTTTTTTTAAACGGCAACATATGTTTTTAATTACATAAACTTGTAGACCAAATAATTAAAAAATATGTTAGTGTTTAAATTTTTATTTATTTGTTCACTTATTATGATTTTATAAAGATTTGATTTTTTGACTGGATTTTCTTAATATTTTCAATCGTGACTTCCTAGTTGTTAGAATGTTATCGCCAATTGGACAATGCAAATACAAATATGAATTTTATGTACTACCGGTTTTGGAAAACCGAAGAAATATGATGATTGTTAAAAGGAAATGTATCTTTACAAAGTCATAGCTATAATGAACAGATAAATGAAAATAATAAATACAAACGCTAACATATTTTTTTATTTTTTGTCTACAAACTTAGGTAATTAAAAAAACATATTGCCATTTAAAAAACCAAAAATCCCCCTATTTGGTTTATAGAGATAGAATTTTTTATTTTCATTTATCAAATCTTTATAAAATCATTACAAATGAACAAATAAATGAAAACTCAAACGCTAACATATTTTTTAATTTTTTGTCTACAAATTTATGTAGTTAAAAATATATATTGCCATTCAAAAAAACCAAAAATCACCCTTTTTGGCTTATAAGGATTGGTGATAAAAAATTTCAAAATATTGGAAAATGTAGTAAAATATATACCTAAAAGTTTAGAAAATTTTTTTTTTCAAAATATTCATATTTTTAGAGAAAACGAGTGTCTTACGTTAGTTGGATCACTCTGTATATATTTCTGTGTTTATAATTAACATGAAGTGTAAGGTCGAGATATTATGTGATAGCTTTATTCGACCGTCATGTTTTTTCATGTAACACAAATTAATTAAAATGAAAATATATATATAAAAAAAAAACTTGCAGCTACGTCAACTTGGTGAGCCCATAAAGAAAGGGATAATTTTGAGTGTAATATACCCTTGATCTAAATATAAAGTATATGTTGAACTTTTATTTTTGATACAGTTCAAGGCGAAGATAAATTAGCAAAGAGTTATAATTAGTTTCCTCGTTTTCTTATTCTAAACATCGGTTTCCCCTATTTTCTTTGTTTCAAAGTAACACGTCGTAGAAATATAAATAAATACTAAAATACAAATAGTTAAATAGGTACTTAAAGATAGACAACGTGCTTTATGTTAAACATATACCACCAGGGGATTTAGAATAATTATAGCGACATTTTCTAAACGTTTAGTCTATCGTGTATTAGATGGAATATCTAATAATATAAGAGAATCAGTTAATGCAAAAATCAAAGGGGCCTAAATATTTGGTCAGGTCAGGTTAGGTATAACATTAGGCCTTAATTTCGAATAAACGAACATTATAAAATGTTTGTTTATTACAAAAAAAAAAAAAAATAATAATAACATTTTAAACGCTTTAAAAGCTTCGAGAAATTGTTTAAAATTTTAAAAATAATTTTTTTTGTCCAGTGATTAAATGTGTCGAAAATGCATTTCACAAAATGTTCTCAAATAAAGTAGTTGGAAATATTTTCATTGAGATGAAACCTTTTATTTTATTTATTAAGAAACTTCCCAGCGATATAATAATTGCTAAAAAACATGAGTAGATGTAGATATTGAACATATTATTAATTGTAGTGAATTATTATTATTCGAAACGTTTGAGGGTATTTCGGTCCACTTTCGGATTTATTTATTCGGTAATTAATAATAATCGACTATTTGGGTCAAACTTGTCAGCTAAGAAATTTCACGAAGCCTATGATCGGTTTTAACAAAATAATCAAGTCTATACCGGTGTTTACCGCAATAATTGGCCGGTCGCCAAAGAACATAAAATGTATTTATCGCGAGGGCGGCGTTTGTTATTTTATAAAAAGATTTCCAAAATAGAATTTGGAGATTATTCAAAAATTGAGTGTATCATAGCTATGACGAATACCGCCTCCGTCTGAGTTATTTGATCGTATGATATACATATGTTATAATTAAACACTAACAAAACGTGTCGGTTTTAAAAAAAAAACAACAAAGGGTTGTGCAGGTTTTTTTTTAGAATTTTTTATCAACATATAGTAAATCAGCAGGCACCAGTTGATCGTATTTTATATAAATAAAAAAAAAAACATGTTTACAATGTGTGTATTATCCTGACAATGCCAAAATGTGACCGCTGAATGTCAATCACCTTAGTACACTAAACTTGTTGATGTGAAACAAGACCAAACATGGTAGTCATCGATAAGTAGATTTTTTTTTTTTTTAGAGAGGTCATGACACACATAATTCAATCGATACAGCCTCGGTACAGACAGTATCAAGGATTTTTCAAATTTTAGTCACTATAGTATTCAATTTGTTAGATTTTTAAAAAAGCTTAACTATCTTTATTGGAGTCATTATGTAAACTTTGTACATCGTATTTGGATTCGATACGTTTTTGAAGGCCTCAAAGACATTATTTTTATAACACCATATAAAATGAATAGGCTTATTTATTGTTTTTCTGATAAAAATAACTTTTCAGTTATTATTCAATATCAACATTCAACCTCTATAAAATAATGAACTTCATAAAAGTAAAAGGGTTCCATGTGAAATCAACACAACAGGTCTCACTTATACTTAAATTTTAGCTATAACTTGGAGATTTATCTTCGAAAAAAAATATAACTGAACACAGTTATGCCTCCCTAAGTACAACCTTAATACATTACTTTTAATTTAATTTCACAATATGAATTACATTTTAATTCATATTCATAATTTTAGAGGTTACAAATTTTACCCCTCTATACTCTCAGTATGGCCTAAAGACTGGGTTAAAATTTTGAGATGTATTTATCACAATAAAAGCATACACATAATCAGTGTTAGAGAATGACAGTTTATTTAATCATGGCTATACTCTAGTATTTGTTCCTTAAGGGATGGAGTTAATTTTTTGAAAAATATATTTATGAAATTGTGCGAACCACTAACCGTACAAGTATAAAACAGTCTAATATAAACCGAGATGAAATCCTAAATCTGAGATCAAACATAGTGTCTTAAGGTTTTGTATTTGGAATTCTTCGAGCTGTAAATATGTTTGTAATGACATCATCAATTTTATACAGAGGCGCAATTCCGCTAAAATGAGTGGTGGCTAGATTAGGTTAGGTTTGGCTAAGTTTGGTTAGGTTAAGTACCAGTTGCTCAAGCACTATTAATATTATCAACTCTCCTCTCCGTACCAATGATGGTATAAAATGCATACAATTTTGAGGGTGGTAAAAACACAGAAACATCTCCCTCCCCAAATGGGGTTATACTTACTAATTAGATAAACGCATCTGTTGTAGGTTGCCGGTAGAAGAGACCCGGAACAAGAACTGGAAGCACGACAATGGATCGAAGCCGTGACCGGTGAAAAGTTCCCTGCCGGTGATTTTCAATTTTTTTGATATTATTATGTTACATAGTACATACTCACATTCCTTGATACTAATTATATGACTTGATTAACCTCACTATGTACAGGTGTATCGTACGAGCATTCCCTTAGAGACGGCATCTTGTTATGTAAACTGATGAACAAACTAGCACCAGGATGCATACACAAAATTAACACATCGGGCGGCGATTACAAGATGATGGACAACATTAACCAGTGAGTACAGTAATATTAAATGTATAAATAACAAAACCGGTACGATTTAACATATTTTAAACACTTTTGGGAAAATAGAGTATACCTTAAATAAGTTTTATGGTTTGGTTAGGTTTGGTTTGGTTTGGTTAGGTTAGGTTTGGTTAGGTTTGGTTAGGTTTGGTTAGGTTTGGTTAGGTTTGGTTAGGTTTGGTTAGGTTAGATCACGTCCTAAATACAAACAAAAGATAAATCGGGGTTGCTAATGGGTTTTTCTGGTTGTGTAGGCCTTTAACGCTCAAGTGTAATGTGATTTTTGTGTAGATTTCAAAAGGCTTGTATCGAATACGGAGTGCCGGACGTGGACTTGTTCCAGACGGTTGACTTGTGGGAACAGAAGAACATCTGCAGGGTGACCATGACCATATTCGCCATCGGCAGAACGGTAAGTCCTGCGCCATGTCCAGGCACACCGGGTCCGTCGTATAGTACCTAATGGCAAATTTTATTTTCCGGTCCGTTTGGGGCTACACAGGCGTACAAACACTTGGAGTGGAGGGGTCCGTCTTTGGGCCCTAGGCCTTCGGAAGAGAACAAACGCGACTGGACGGAAGACCAGCTGAGGGCCGGAGAGGGTATCATCGGACTGCAAGCGGGCCAAAACAAAGGTGCCACGCAGGCCGGACAAAACTTTGGGGCTAGCAGGAAAATCTTGCTGGGAAAATAACATTTCGGTTGTAACAAACGTACACATAATATATTTTCTTATTTACTTGTGTTCGCTAAACTTAATAAAATTATAATCTAACAACATTATACTACTAGTTTAGAGCGACTATTTGTGTTTTATTTATAATTCGAGATAAAACATAATAATTGTGTTACTAGTAAAAAGTATTATAAGCCACCGAAAACAGCGTTCACGACCGAATACAACATTTGTCCAACACACTCCAATATATTACTATTATCGCACAACACAATATTGTTAAAACATCTAAAAATGTTCATAATATAATATTATTAAAAAAATAAACTGTATAAATATCGTATGGGAAATTAGTGAGTTTTCAAAACTGATTCTAAGCGGCGCCTCTACAAAGAGAATATACCTAATATTGTCTACACCTTATATGGATTTAAATTTATAACAAAAAATTGTGACGATCAAGTACAACTATATTTGGACTTAACAACGTAGAATTTATTCATTCAAACCACTTTTGAAAATAATAAATATACAATTCAAAGGTGTGCAAATAACGACATAATATTATTAAGGTAAGTGCACGTTGAAAAATAATTTAATGCAATTGTTTTTATTTACTGTTGTTTTTTTCACTGAAATTAGTGCTTAAAATATATGAAAAATACTATTTTTTTAAAAAACATTAAAATATTATAAACTATATTACATATTATATCTATGTATAATATCTTCTAGGTATTTTTTTTTTTTTTAATTTTATTAAGCTGAAAAAAAATTGCAATTGCTATTGCTTTTTTTTTATACATAATATATTCTAATAATACTATAATTTTATAATCATTTAATAATAACGTTATACGTGTAAGATAAGACATTGACACGGTTTAGTGACAGTAAAATCGAACGTAATAATATTATAATGTCAAATAATATAACAAATTGACTAGCCAAACGCAAAAAGCACCAAAAATTGGTTTTCTAAAATTGGCACATTAATTCTATTAAACATTATTTGAGCACGTTTATATAATATTATATTTGTGGGTACTTAATAATTGGAAATGGCAAATAAAAAGGCGGATTACAACACTAAGGTAACGTCAACTGTGAAACGCGAATCGATTGATTGTCACTCAATGAAAAAAAAACAGATAAAAGTAAGAGATAGTAAAAGATATTATACATCATTACTAGACATCTTCAACATAATTATAATTAAATTGTTTAAAGATTATTACGTTTACTAAAGCTTTTGAAAATTAATTTTTATAGAGTCGCGTTAATTTAAGTGTTTTAATAAGTTAATAATTTTTGTAAGCAGTGGACAATTATAAACAAATAAAATATTTCTATAATTTTACCCATTATAGATGTTAAAAATTAGAATCTGATGTAATAATGCTTTTAGATTTTATTGGTGGATATTTTTTTTAATAAAAATGAGTAAGTTTTATGGTTGAGGGTCAGTTTAAAATTGTTTGTTAAACATTTTTCTGTATGATCAAAATCTGTTGACTTATTATATTGACTGATAAGAGATAAGGAGGGGTGGTACGATTGTAGGAGTGGGCATAAAACATAATAGTCATGATTTATTATATGTTTCTCCTCGAGGAGGAGGACATATTTTTACCCAATTCTGGGCAAAAGAGAACCGTATATGTACAAAATGTACACAAACGCGAAAGAGTAATTTTTAGGATTTTTTTAAACGACAATTACAAAAGGATTAGTTTTTTTTTTTTTTTGGAGCATTTTTTAAAACGACATTCGATGTGATTATTTTTTGTTGAATTTTTCGCCGTTGATTTTTTTGTTTTTTACGGCATCCAGAACTAGGTCGGGCGCCGTCGGTTTGGCCGTTGTGGCCGTGGCCGTCGGTTTGGCCATTGTGGGCTTGGCCGCTGTTGTGGACATTACGGTCGGAGACGTGGCCGTCGACGGTTTGGCCGTCGTGGACGACGCGACCACCTTGTTGGCGGCCGTACTGGACTTGGGCGTCGATGGCGAAGTGGTGGACGGCGCGACGGCGCGTTGGGTGGTGGCCGCGGTCTTGGACGGAGCCATAGTGGTCGTACCAGGCGCAATGGTCGTCTTGGACGATGTCGCAGTGGTCGTACCAGGCGCAACGGTGGTCTTGGACGCCGCCGCAGTGGTCGTCGGCTTCGCCGTGGAGCTTGGCCCTTGCTTGTTGTTCCTCGCTGCGGTATTGGAATGGGCCGTTTTCGACGATATGGCCGCAGTTTCGGAGTTACCCTTGTTGTTGTCGTTGGGAGGTCCGGCGTCTGGTGACTCGGAATTGTTTCCGTCGGACCGGTGCTTGGAGTTGGAGTCTTGTTCTTTGGCACTGTTCTTTTTGGGCTTTTTCATGTTTCTCACGACGTTTCCGGTTGATTTTACTGGGGCCCGTTTGGACTTCATCGGTATCGTGGCGATCATTGGCTTCCTCGGCGCTTCTACGTTGGCCCTAGTCGACAATTGTTCTTTAGCCGTGGTCGGTTCTTCTACGTTAGCCGTTGTCGGTTCGTTTACGTTTGCCGTTATCATTTCTTTTACGTTAGCCGCTGTCGATTCTTTTACGTTAGCCGTCGTCTGTTCTGTTACGGTAGCCGTAGGTAATGCTTTTACGTCGGCCGTTGTCTGTTCTGCTACGTTAGCCGTAGTTGATGCTTTTACGTTGGCCGTCGAAGATAAGATTTTAGTCGTCGACGTAGGCGGTTTTGCAGTTGTAGGAATGACAGTAGTAGTCTTCGGTGCCAATTTGGACAGTGTCGATTCGCAACGGTTGTTGCATTTGCACGGATTTTCGTTTTCAACAGCAGGCAAACCTGTGTTAAATAAATGAAATAATATTACTCAAAAAGTCCATTGAGGTCTCAATCTTTGTGGTCTGATAGCTTTATCACATTTTTTTTTTCATACAACACATAATTTTTTACGTTTATTGACATTCCTCGACCGCATTTCTACTTCTTATCTTATTTTTTCACTATCGTTCAAACGCAATAGTTTAAATTTACACTCAATCACAACTAATACGTATTATACCATTCTACTTTATGCAGACACACTTCAGTCTGGTTGAGGACATAATTTATAATTTTTTTACTTTTAAGTTCCACTAAATTCACATTAGCTACAAACATGATATACCAAGGCATCGCCATTTTGACATTGAATACAAGTGTCTTACTATTGGTGTCGTTGGTTATCCAGTCGGCCATTTGTAAATCGGTCAATCCTTCGGCCAACGGGTTTTGCTCTTCGTCCACGTGGAACAATTTGTACGCACTCTGATCCGGCTTAGAAACAACGTAGACCTTCGCCAAGGCCGGCCGTAATCCAGTGACTTTCTGGACGTTCTTTGCCGTATAAGACACGCATACGATACAGCCTTTGGTCACCTGTTAATCACAAGACGATTATACCGATCGGTTAGGTCTACTAGTATAGCTGTTGTGGTTATATTGGATTGACGAGTGGGCGTACCTTCGAGAAGACAAACCAAACGCGATTCGAGTGTGAACCGTGATGGACGTCCGGCAGGCTGGAGTAGGATATTCGCTCGAAATAGAAACCAGAAAACAGTTTTACCTCCAACCTCACCGCGTCTTCCGACTCGTTATTCATTCTATACGTTTGATTAAAAGGAAACCATTACTATTGTAAAACAAAAATACCTTTTGGTTGTGGGAAAAATACCTGAAGCACGTTTGAAGTCTCAGAGTGGTCGAATGGCCGTAGGTCTCGTCTGTAAAACCTTTACTCGGTTGAATGACGTCGGTGACCGCTGACCAAAGATCAAATAGCTTGTTGTCGTTTTCCGCCGTAATGTATGTGGAATAAAGGACTCGGCCCTGAATTGTAGAGCACCCAGCTCCTGTGGCGTAGACGAAAACTTTGGTAGGAAGCGACGGCAAATGCAAGTACTGTGACTTGGTGCTTGGATCGAATTCCAGAGTGTCGGTTAACTCCATTCCAGACGTGGCTAGCGAAACAGTTAGTTTCCGATGGGGGTCCGATCCGATTTTGTCGAACATGGCAAAAGCTTTGACGGCCAAATACGCCAACTGAAAGCGCGATCAAGATATAGTCAAAGTCATTGGTGTGATTTCAACAAATAAAAAAAAATTGTCCGCATACTTCTGGATGAGTGTCCAACACCTTTGTTCTGTAGTACAGGTAACGGACTATGGGTTCGGATGTTTTCAAGTCACGTTTCGCCGAATATATCATCAAACAGTACAACGAAGCTTTGAACTCGTCAATCGAAACTGAAAGCAAAAAAAAAAAAAAAACATGACATTTTCAATATCCTACACCAATCGAAATGACCTAGTTAGGTTGGTTCGCTCACTGTTGTTTCCTTTATTCTGAGGGACTACTTCGTCGTACCAATCGGACGTCGAGTGCACTTTAGGCCAACCGAATTCACTCTCCTGGTTCGTCGATAATGATTGCAGTTTTGTCAACGCTTTCGCTGTGAGCTTACTGTTGGCCATCATTAACGCGTAACTGGCCAGGGCCAGCGGATATGGTTTGACGATTTCATCCAAACGTTGTTCGACCAATGACTTACTATGATTGGCGATTTTCGTGTCGGTCTGTTCCAAGTAAAAACGTAATGGTTAATAAGAATAAAATACGAGTTTTAATTAAATTAAGACGTCTACTTCAGATTCCACGCCCAACTCCATTAAGGTGGCCAAAGTGTCGCAAGCGGCAATGATTTGGTTGGTTTTCAAATCGGTTTTGGCCACAACGGTGGAAAAATCATCCAAAGTTTGTTTTTGTATCCAATTTTTCAACCCGTCAATCAGTTGAGGGTCGACGCCAACGTGAGACTGACTTCTCCATAAAATTTCAAGCACGCGAACATTGCACCTGCAAACAGTCATTGGCCAGGTCATGTTTGTTCCCTCTAATATTCCATCTTTCATAACACCTCTCATTGCCTCTCGCCTCATCTCTTCCTCATCAACACGACCGAACCATCTCAGCCTATTCTCTCTCATTTTCTCCACAACTGATACAACTCCTAGACTTCCCCTTATGTATTAATTTCTTATTCTATCTTCCCTAGTCATTCCACTCATGCATTTTAACATTCTCATCTCCGCTACACTCATTATCTGTTCAGTTCTCTTATTTATCGCCCAACATTCCGACCCTATAAAATTTAACTTTCAATCTTATAGGCATCCTCCAGTCACACAAAACACCCGACGCTCCCCTCCACTTCATCCATTCACAATTTATTCTATTTTTCACATCCTTCTCGTACCCACCATTTTTTTTGTGCCACCGATCTAAGTACTTAAACCTATCGACTTCACACATTTCATTATCACCCATCTGCATTACCTGTCTTACCCTATAACTTTCTCCAAACTTGGTAGTTAATTAACTAAACGCCTGCTATTATGTTAATTACTTACCAATAGCATGGAATGTTCGGATGATCTCCAAAAGACCCATCGACGTTTTGGTATGAGAGCAGTACGGGTATGGTTTTCGACAGGAGATTCGCCAATGAGTTTTCTTCGGTGCCGTTGTTGTTGTGCTCCGAAGTCAGTAGTGGAGTGAACGTTGTGAGGAACGAAACCAAGCTAAACAAACATTATACACGTTTCAAATAATATATAAGCGCGTTGCTAATGCGTTTGATGCGCAATACCTTGTGGACAATTTCGGTTGATTTTGCACAAAGAACGGGAAATTGAGTCCTCCGGTGACGACCAACGTACCGGTCTCGGATCCAGATATTACCGAATTCGGGGTTTCCAAGTGTAACACTTGAGAAAAACCAGCCTCATTGTTGTAGTTCCAGACTCTGAATTGCCCAGTAGTTCCCACGACGGTCGCAAAACCTATATGGTTCACTTTGATTTTTTTGTCCATATTCCATTTCAGCAACGGGTACTGGTGGATCTCTTGGCCGTAACCAAAAGCCAACACTCCTTTTTCCCAACTGATCCAAAACGTGCGAGGTTCTTCTTCGGATAGGATTCCAGGCGTGTTGCGGCTTGTTAGGTGAACGCCGTTTCCTTGAGAAATTATTAAAAACAATCAAACAACGTGCAGAATGCTTAGGAAATGATCAAGTTGGGTATTTACCGTGTTTTCCTCGACCGATCCACGAGATGGTATTGTCCAAATCGCCCAGGACGATTTGATACATCATGGTGGTGGGTTTGCGCTCTTGACTCAATAGGATGTGAGCGCTTTTCTTCGCGTGGATTTCAAACACAATCCCATCTCGGTTCTTAGGCGCCGTCACATGTTGATAACGGAAATCCGACGTCGTCGACACGACAAGTTGTTCTACACGTGGTTAAGGTTAGCATTCGTGTCTTAAAATAGTACAAAAATGTTAGGTGACTATTGATTACCATTGGCGCAAAAATATGCGCTGTCGGTAGTCTGACGTTGGACTCCTTCGGGATGCACGTTGATCGATACGGACTTGACGACAACGCTGGCAGACGAATTGTTCAAAATGTCTGATTCGTCCGTCTTGCGGCTGTCGTCGACCGAGTGGCATTTTTCACTCACGAATCCAGAAATGTCAACTAAGAAATGTCAGTAATAATATTGAAATAAGCCGGCAAAAAACACTTGAATCGCGTGTTGGGGGCATACCGGTTAAATTTTTTACGCCTTCTTTTAGCGCAGTAATTCTGACGATCAACGACGTTGCACCATAAGCTCCCAATCTCATTTTTTCCGCCACGAAGGGTTGATTTGAACTGCTGAACACTGCCCCTTCGGTCAACGAGAGCAGTGCGTTCACCTGTCGACATGCGTTTAGAAGGTTTTTTTAGGTTAGGTTAGGTTTAAGATAAGTTCAGTAGATAAGAAAACTATCAATTGAACAGAGAATGAGTATAACGGAGATGAGAATGTCAAGATGGATGAATGGAGTGACTAGGGAAGATGGAATAATAAATGAATGCATAAAGGTAGGGGTTGCATCAATTGTGGAGAAAATGAGATAGAATAGGCTGAGATGGTTCGGTCACGTTATGAGGAGATATGAGGCAGAGGCAGTGAGAGGTATTATGAAGATGAATGTAGAGGGAAAAGGAGGAAGAGGAATATCAAAGAAAAGATGGATGGGCGGAATAGAGAGTGATATGAGGATAGCTGGGATGTTTGAACGAGAAGATCGAGCTCTATGTAGGTGTAGGCCTATGGTGGCCGAGTCCATGTAGTTGGGAGTGTAAGGCGAAGATAAATGAGAAGAAGAAGGTTTCTTATACTACAACCAGTAAGCTGCAGTGTGAACAGAATAATAGAAAATACAATTCTCTGGTACCGATTATGCTGTTCACTGTTGAACGTCTTATAAAACAAAGTGTTTATTTAGTTTTAAGTGGTCACCTAACCTAACCTAACCTAACCGAGTACAGGGAATTGTATCGTCGGATAGGATACACTTACGTCCATACAAGAGTTGACGTTGTTGGCGACGTAGATGTCGGTTTGCACAGTCTCGCCAACGTTTATGTCGACGGGAGTGCGAATATCCACTTCCAAAGTGCTGGTGACCTTAACGTCTATCGTGTCAGTGATTTTCAAACCAGAATTTCCGACAGTCAACATGCGCAATTTCCAATGACCGGCTTTGGGCGGTGCTTGTATGCTGATTCCATTTTTCACAATGTCACCTCTGTTAAAAATCGATATGATTAATCAATTAATGTCGTGTACCTATAAAACTGGCGTTATGAAATGTTCAAGAAGTATACAAACTTAATAAGAAGCTAGTTAATTAGTTAAAAATGTTGTAGCTTTTGTAGCCAAGATTGACAGACTTGGGAAATTGTATAACGTGAAAATGTTTACTCACGTGAAGTTATCACATTTCCATATCCACAACTGCTCCATCGAAAACGTGTCCAAGAAACTATGATGTTTAGGGTACAGGTCACTCTGTCTGGAAGTGGTGACTTTGCCGTCTGAGCTTTTTTCCAAAAACAACAAGCCGGATTCCAGGAGATCCGTGTCGTCGTCGGTGTTTCTGTTGGTAAGAAGCCACAAAAAAAGAAATGTCTTATTATCCCCAATAAAATTTTGGAAACCGTCCAAACCCTGTTTCGACTAACCTGACCGGTGAATTGTTTTCCGTTCCTCTACCGCCGATCAAGCAAACCAGAGAGTTCTCTTCGGCCATTACGCTAACTTGAAGAACTTGTTCGGGGTACCAGTTGTTGTTTTTGTTATTTTTCAACATCATTTTCACCTAAAAACCGAAATCATTTAGCCGGCCTATCGGAAATGGTTATAGCTGTTATCATAGTTACCTTTGGATCGGTTTGTTTCACATTGAAGCTGATCACATCATTTATGGTTTCCCCGTCCTCGGTGGTGTAGTAAACCAACAAATGACTGGTTGGTGCCATAACAGAGTCAACGTTGAATCTGTAAAATAGATATATTTTAAATATATTTATCGGAGATGTCTCTTTTGGAATTGTGACCAAAAAAAAGACCTATTCTTTATAACATTATGTAGTTTATGTACGTACGTTAAATTGAACCGACAAATATCCACTTGATCCATGATTTTCGTCATCTGAACTTGAGGTTTGTACTTATGCCAGTATGTCACGTGACCTTCGGTGGTTACAACGTAATTTACATCACGATTACACGGACACGATGACAGCACCGCCACTTCAGCTTCCTCGTTCGCCTATGTATTCACAATAAAACAGATTTAACTGATAGAACTGCTAGCAGTGAAATTTTAAAATTGTAAAAAAAAAGCTGAGAAAAATAATTATCCTGTAAACATTTCCATTCGTTTGATCTTACCACTAATGTATGGTCTATTCCTTCGACCAACAAATAGCAATCCGAAGACGAGTTCCATTTCTGTATGAACTCTTTGGCCAACACGTAGTGTCCTTCTATTTCTTTTCCCTCGACAGAAACTAGTTCGGCCTGTATAATAATAGATAACGAATTAAATAACGAATACACCACATGTAACACTGAAATTGTAAGATTATTTTAAATCCTGCGCTTACCTGGAGCACAATAATTTCACTATCCGATAGTATAGCAGGCACAACGAATGTACCCTCTCCCTGCAGCATCTCGACGTCCTGGCTGTATATCGCAGTGGAGTTGTCGAACACCTTAACGCGAACGCGCAGGTTCTTTTCGGAGCTCATAGCTTCAACCTAAAAAAAACCCATAATATTGGTTAGAACACTTATCTATTAGGATGTGGATGAGTTGTGGTTGGTATTGTGACAAAGTAGAATTCCTGGATAGCTTATACGAGGACCTAACCTAACAGGAAATTCGCTGATTAAAAGAAAGTGCATTGTTTCATGATTTAATTCCAATATCATTCGTTCAAGTGAAAGATTGGATTTTTTACACATGATAATGTTTTTAGGCTGGGGTTCTTCAACCAAGACGTCTACAACAGTTCAACTGACCTTTCCGAGGAAGGGCAATCCGGGTTTATACTTGTGTCTCATTTCATGTCCAAAACGCAATTCGACAAAATGTTCCTCGGTAATGGTTTGTTCGCGTTTGGGCGGATCGTTCGCACCTCTGACGTTGCTGACGTTTACCACGGTTTTGAAGATTATCCCTTCGGTTTCCACCTCGACGGCCCACTCACCCACAGCTGCCAATTCCGACAGTGTAAAACTGAACGGGATCGAGTGACTGGTAGGCACATCGTCCCAGAGAGCCACTTTGGTGCCCCGGGGATTCTTTATGTACACGTCCATTGTGATGCCATCAGCCGTCCGAAGATCGTGGTCCAAAGGTAATAGCCAGAATTTAACTGTTTGTAAAAAATTGTTTTCATATATACAGTCACATAGGTTATATAATATGCACAGGGATGGAGAAATAATTAATTAAAAAAAAAAAAACTATGCCAAATAATGAATATTATATTAAAAATAAGTTTGACATTCTTTCCAAAATATAATACTGCTCATTTCATTAAAACACTATATTGTGTTTATATTTGCATACTTACAAAGCGTAAGTCAATTATTGTTTTCCTCCGCCTGAACCCTTATTTACAGAGCCTTTAATATTCTGAATAACTTAAAGGATTACGAGAATTTCGCTCTCCGTTTTGTATACTTTAGACAAATAGTCAACAGAGGTAATTTTGGAAGCGGGCCAAAAGAAAAGAAAGGGGACAAAAGATTAGTATGTGCGGATGAAGACAGGATTTCCGTAATGTTCTGGGGTAGAAACGTTTCGTAGTAGGGTAAAAAATATTTTTAGAGATTATCTTATTCATGTTGAATTTGGCGGCGAGATGTCGAGGCACAGAACAAAAAAAACCTAACGTTAAAATAAATTACATTAGTGATATTTCGTTGGAAATAATTCCATGATTATTCGTTAGGTTGTATTTTCTATTAACATAAGTCAAAATAAACGAAACGCTATCAACAAGCCCTCTCTACGTTATGAAAGTGCGAAATCTCAACAAAATGTAATTTGCTTTTCGTCAGGTCTAAATCCATCAATTTGTGTGGTAAAGTAGAGATAAGGAGTCGTTCCAAGAGGTTGCACTAAGGTCTCTTCGCACTCAATCAAAGCCCGATTGTCAGCTTAACTTACGGGAATGGACCTTAGAAATAACGGATTATTGTTTTTAGTTTTTCTACGACTGACACTTGAAATAAAAACCTAATCTAATTGGAATATATTTTGAACCCTTCCACAACAAACTCGACTAATATTGTCAGTAGTTGTACCTAACTTATCAGGCATATTATTTATATCTGAGACATGCAAATTTAAAAATCCCCTAACTCCTAAACTGTTGCACAAAAACTGTCATTGTTCGCAACAGCTGCAATTTTGTATTGGTTACGGCTACATGCATAGGATTTGATTTCCGACTTTAATCAAGTATTTTCCCATACTTACTGGTTTCTCCGGGTTTGTAAAACTTGCTGGAAGTTTGTACGACCACGTCACGCACTGAACCGACCAGACGAAGCTTGGACGTGGTCTGCAACGTACAATTGGCGTCGGTGTTATTGGCGCAGTTGGTTAACGTCTGAAGGTAACACGTGTCCGGCGTTTGCGTGGGAACCGTCAACGGGATGATACCGTCTCCTGTAATTAATACACACAAGAGTAAATACCCAATGCAATAATGCAGATGGGCGATGGTGAAGTGTGTTAGGTTGATAGGTACAAACAAACTGTGGGTATGAAAAAAAAAAAAATCTATTGAAGCTAATCTGATAATTAAGTTGACATTTCAATTTTAAAATGGTCCCCTACACACGACGATAAGGAATATTTATTTACTTGGTTCATTTAGTATAGTTTATTTAATAGGAAGTTTCCAATTGTTCGTTTGCCGACTGAAACGGGCAAGGGCAAGGTTAGGGGACTGTCAAGGAGATCAACCCGAGAGTGATTAATAAACTGCTAAGACGCGGGTCGGGGAGGTAATTGTAAAGCTTCGATGCGAGTGTCTCTTATGTGTTTTGACAAACTGGCAATGTGTAATTTTGTGACTGAAATACCTGAGCCAATCCACCGTGTGTGCGAGGCGCTTTTTGTCTCGCTAATTCCCTCTAGACCAAAGTCGTGAGCGCACAACCAAAACGCGCTTTAACCGTCGACGTCAAGGGGGTATCATTAATTTCGTTTGTCTTTGCGGTGTCAGTGTCTATATATAATACATAATATATCACGCGATACACGCTGTGTGTACTGTCGATCATTTCCCAACGTCTTATCGACTTACACTATTTTATGAACTTGTTTAACAGGGAGAAACACTTTAGGTTGTATATAATAATACTACAGTCTACCTAACCCGCGGGCTAGACCTTTAAATTTCTGTAGTTCAAAAAGTATTTAATATCCACAATAATTGGTTATTATTTCCACTGAATCATTCTGCTTTTCATAGGTCAATCGAATACGTATGTTGTTATTTGACTACCTTTTAAAATACTATTTTTTACTTGAATATAACATGTAATTTTCGTCCAATAAACCTAATAGGGGTTTTATTTGAAAAAATACAATAATGTCTATTATGTTTTAAATTATAGAAATACTGTGTTTTGCCATAGGTGAAATTTGGGTGAGGTTTGCACCCTTAGTTAAAAGTTAACAAACTACGGTTATGTTATTTTCTGTTAACTGGTGTAACCAATATCCGTATAGTGGCATGACTGGTCCCTAGGGGATGTTCAAAGCCTGTTTGTGTAGAATATAGACTTTGAGTTTAAAGTTGGGCTGTAACAATAATAATAATAATAATAATAATAACGGGTTTGCAACTTCCACGTTAGGTAAGGTTATCTTTTGTTCTATCGGTATTCAAAACGTACAACATAGATACTCGTATTGTGTGCTATAACGAATCATACAAATAATGTTACAATGTTTTGTTTGAGTACAATACTAAAACGGGTTAGCTAATCTAGCTAAGTATGGATTTTACCTTACATTTGTCTCTGTTGCCTGTAGTTATTGCGCATATAACAGTCAATAATAAAAATCGCCAACATTTCCTTTATGAAATGCGAAATAAGTTTTTAATGAAAATGGAAGTTCGTCTAATTAATGGAATTGTTAATTGTTTTTTGTATTATTGTTATTTAGAGAGAGGCGAAATGGCGTCAGCCGGTTTAACCATATACTCTTAAAAAATAATTTATTAAAACGCTTTGTAAATATAATACTTAATTGTCTTTTCAGCTGTCGCCCAAGACAAAGCCGACTGATCTAAATATGAATTATTCAGCTTTATATTGAATTTCGAAATAATGATTTATTATTAGAACTCGTTTCACTCTGGGAGTGTAAATTATTTCACCTCTGTATATTTTGAGATTAACATAAAATAACTCGGTAAAATAAACCAACCCCTTGTGATTAAGCATTATAGATGGCCAACAATTTGAAAGTGTGAAAGTGACTTCACATCTGTCTTGATCCGATTTGGCCAACTTTTTACTGTGCTAGTTTGCATAGTGTTTGAGTTTATTTAAGTCCACTATTGGATCAGTTAAATCACACTAGAGTTCTTTGAAGGATTTAACCGTCTGTAATAAGTCCCTATGTCTAGTGACTATATTTAATGACACGGTTTTCCTCGACCAGTCGCTTATGTTTCTTAGACCAACGTCAAACTGAAAAAAGAAATAGACAGGTTTGGGAAATTCGACCGGATCAGCTGCCGTCAGCTATCTTAATCTGGCCTGAACGACGTGGACGTATCAATTTCGTTAGAGAGTGACTTGTCTGGAAATCCAATTGACCTTTTACCGTACATTCGTCCCCCATTACAGGCCAATGGACCAATATGCTTAATATTATACGGAAATTCATGTGAGTATCGATATGGACGCCTTTACAAGGCTGCCTTTATGTAGATTCTCATTTGTAAGTCTGTAATCGTTCGGGCAAGAGGTTTTTTTTTGTTGATAAAATTTACTATTTATTTTACTGTTTATTAGTACATCCGATTCGATAAGGCTATTAAATTTTGATGATTTGTTACCTTCTAATTTTCAATAAAAAAAGTAGTACTAAAAAGTGCAAAAAAAAAAAAATAAATAATAAGAGATTCAAACATTGAAAATTGTTTAGTTGTATTATTTAGTCGATATTTCAACGCACTATTCTGATATACCGAAATTGTATGCATTTCAATAATGTGTTCGAGTTATTATAACTTTAGAATTTTTAATAGGCAGTTAGTTATAAGTCTTGTCAACAAAATTGCACATAGAAAAAACAGGGATAATCACCCTCCCCTGCCACAGTTTTTATTTTTATGAGTATAATTTAGGGGATGACGTGCAGTGTCTTCAAAAAGGTTATAGAAAAAATGCAGTCAATAATTTTCAAAAGGAATTAAAAAAAATACATTACAGTACAATGATTTAGAACTAGAAAATATAGATTTTACAAAACTATCAAGATTCCAAAAAAAAAAAATGTAGATGAATTAAGTATTTCTGTTGCAAAACGTTACTATTTTTCCAGGCTTTACTATTGATTTAGATACTCACACTGATGAAAACTATAAATGCCTTCTTGATACTTATAAAAAGGACTCAAACACTAATGAACTGGCTGTATGATATTAGTGAAATGCTTTTTTGGCAAAAATATGCCAACAAATGGACTCTTCCAATAGTGTATTAAACGTTTTCTATAAGTGTGACAAATTTCTTTTCCTAAATTTTCACAGATTATTCAAATTAAAATCTCTGGCAGTTACAACGCATCTGGAGAGCATTTCTTTCCTACTATTAAGGCGTTTAAAACCCTACTTAAGAAGTACCAATAGTGAGGCTATGGATTATCATTCCAAAACTGGGACAGGGTTTTTGGGTTATATTGATATTGTAATACTTAAAGTATATCTTAAACAATTTCGAAAGTATTTTTTTACGGTTGGAGTAATTTTTACACTACCACTGTCGTTTACTTAGGTAACAGATGTTTGATATTTACTAGAATTCAACCTATAACAGTTTTTGGCTACAGTGTATGTCTGACAAGTAAGCATGCTGTTCCCAATAATTTTGTATTCTGTATTTTGGATTCGAGTTTTAGTAATGGATTTCAAAATTGATTGTTAGTCATTAATATTATATTGAACGATTTCAACCATTTTAAAATGTGCTTTATAAACTATACTATGTATTATACCTACGGTACATTATGCCACGCTAGACAATTTTTTTGTATTCTTCAGTATAAAAACACATGTGTTATGCGTGTGCATAGTAGGTTCTTTGCCGAATTCTTGCAAATATAATCATAATTTCAACTATCGCATCGGTCCCACTAATCTGAAGAAATAATTGTAATGTAACAATTAAAAAGCATACATCAGCCTCGAGCAACTAACATTTTGGCCTAAATTTTAAACTTTAAAGACTTTGAAACTAATTATCCAAAACTGGCTATCGACAAGTCAACATTTCTAATACGCTATTCTCAATTTAAAAAGTTAATGAAATGTATGCGTTACCATTTAAGTACCAAAACAGGTTTTCAAAAAACCTTAGTTGGGAAGGAGGTAAAAACAATTTTTAAATTGAGATCACACGATATAAAAACATTATAAAAAAAAATTGTAATTTCTTTGACCCTATGAGGTATTGAGTGGTTTACAATAAAACAACCACCCTGTACATCTCAATTTGCACTATGAAGTATAGACAGATATTTTATCGACGCGTAAGTTTAAATTGAAAATCTACTTTTTCCTGTTAAAATGAACTGTTATAAGGCCGTTATTAGGAATAATAAATTAACACGTATACATTATATGCAAATATTACAAATATTCGTTAGATACTCTTAAACGGAATTTATTAGTACTACGTATAAAGGTACAAAATTTCTCAAGAATTTAAACGGTTAGTTATCTGAACATTATGATTTTAGCTTCGATGCAAAGCGGAGAAGGTATTGGTTTTACTATGACGTGGGCTTATTTTGTGTCTGTATACACTGTAACTTTTTTAATATTGGACCAATTCCTTCGAGTAGTTACTCTATAAATCACAAATTTTATCTAGTCGGTACTTTGGGGAAGGGGGGGGGGGAAATTTGAAAAATTTTACTTCACAATTAAAATTGAAATAAAAAAAAATCCATCCGAGTTTTTAAGTTAGAACTTTTACTGGCTATAATTTCGATAAAAAGATTTGGGTTGAATTGAAATTTATAAAGAATATTCATTTGGTAGGCCCGCATACGTCAGTGTTATCAAATTTAAATTATAACCATTTCCCATCTCCCTAAGGGGATGCAAGTTTTTTTGATTTTTTAGCCGTAGTCGTAAGACCTTGAAGTTGAAAATTTGTCAGTAGTTAGAACTCAAATGTATCCATAATATATTAAACGAGGAAAAAATTCGGCACTACAATTTTTCTTTAGTTGCCGGAAAACTGTGTTTTTCGCAGATTTCGGATATTTTAACAAAAAACACCTAAAATCTTAAAAAAATTGTATGAAATCATTAAAACAATTTTATGTAGATCTATGCAGAATGATACTATTAAGTTTTACTACTCATGTACTACTTTTAGCTTTTAAATTAATTTTTTTTTGGCTGAGTAAAATTGAAACTTGATATTAAATTCCATCGACCCCAAAAACATATAATTTGACCACTTCTAAAAATAGAGGTGTTTCATATTTTGTGTAAACAAGTGTCTCACAATCTATAACGTTAAAAAACGCAACGACTTAAGTTTTTTTTTTTCCACCCTGCTGCTCGATCGAGAAATAGGACCGGAAGATGGGGCGGTACAGCGGCCCTCGCCATTCCTGTGGCCCGCATGATGTGGCGCCAGCCGATCTTAAGTTAAAATTATTAAAAAATCTGCCGTACTTACGAATAATAACTGAACACGTATGCGCTATGTGCAAATATTACAAATAATGTCTAAAGGTAAAAAATTCTATACGAATTTGCCACTAATATGTACATAATATACGCGTTGGTGTATACAACATTTATACATAAATTTATCTAACTCTGAAACTTAAGGCTTTAAGTGTGAGAATTAGACCTATGTTAGATATAGAGTGGGACCATACCATTTATAATATACATTTTTTTCAATCATCTGTTGTTGATCTTTTATTTTTAATATTATGGAAAAAAAGATAAAAATTACACTTTGACTATTAATCTATAATGGTTAATTACTATAGCCGTAATTGTATCCGCCTTATAATAACAAAAATACATTTTCAAGCACATTATTGTCTTTAGGTACAATGTTTTTTTGTCGTTAGTGGTGTTTCTACCATTACATTAGGCAACATATACGACGTATATACGGTACGAACGAAAACACATGATAGCATGACATGACATGCATTTTATTTGCACATATTTTTGTTTTGTTTTATTATCTAAACTCTATGTAAAAATAATTACATAGTTTAGGTTTTTTCAATTCATATCATTCTGTTAGTTGTAAAATGATGTTTTTTCGGGTCAATTATTATTTGTTATTATGTCAACTGATTGGTTAAATATCTGTGTTGGGATATTGCATGCTCGACAATTAGTATACACGTGGGAATTACTTATATATATATACCATTTGGAGAGGAATACGCTGATTTAATGAAAATGGATTTATTATTTTGGTATCGTTATACCTACTAATGCAACAGCATTAATCGTGATAACATACTGTGTTTACTGAAAACACAAATCGACTAAATCAGCCTAATGTTATTATCGTAGCAATACTGTCCGTACCGCATAAAACCTCATCCAAAAGTTTATTATTATCAAAATACAAGCAATTAAATAAGTCAAATTTCAAAGCGGTTCGACTTGAGTTATTTTTTTTGAAATGATTTTCTATTGTGGTATTGTTCAAACTAAATTCGCTGGCGTGTAATCCAGTCGCTCAAAGTGAATAAATCCCAAGACACAAAGCTTGTAAATTTAAACATATATTATACGGTGATTTGAAAACGCACGGCGTCAGCCATATTAAAGTCGTAAATCGTACACTCGAATTATTAAAAAACAAAACAAATATTTACACAATTGCTTACACGGTTTAAAATTTAAAACCAAATCATACTTCGATGGTTCACGCACAGTCAATGCCTCGTACTTGCGTTAGTAGCTTTGCGTATGTTTAACTTCTTGCATTAACAATTGTAATTTTATTTCGTTTATTTTATTTTCATTGACAATTATTCCTGCTCGAGTACTTGCGTCTCACTGTATATTGTAAGTATGCCGAAAATGGCGCTCCGATTTAAGTGTACCGCATCGGTTATTACCTTGTTGTCGGCCTTGGTTAACGTGGCGGACTGTGGGTTGGGACACACCACGTGTTTTAAAGCAAGTACATCAGACAGCGAACCAAATCCGTACCAACACATTCTCCAGTTCAATAGAGGACAATTCCAACGTATACAGTGGCTGACGGCACCCAATCTGAACCAAGATTACTCGGTCTTAACGGCTTCCGAAATAGGCAAGGAAATCAAATGCAACGACGCGTACTATACGTTGAGGTATCTGTATATGACGAATCCGAGGAACTTCAGTGATCGCAACCAAGTGTTTGCAATACACAAGGCCATCAACGAACAGTATTCGGGGTGGACGATGAAAATGTTGGCGACTTCGTTCAACGTGGCCCAGAACGACATCGAAATGGACGTGCCGTGGCTGATGTATTTGTACATCAATTGGATAGAAGAGCGCACTGCCAATTATGTGGGCAGCGAAATGCGGACGTTCATACAGCTCGCTCACGACGGGATGATTAAAGCGGTAGAAACCGCGATGCAGGATAATGATTGCACCATGTTCTTTCCGGAGGTCGAAGGGGTTCCGGTGTCCGAGCGAAAATTCTCCGAGTACAAGGTTGGCATGGACAATTGGAGACCGACAAATGACAATAAAGAAAACGCGGATGCGGTGTCGGCAGTTCTGGGCGAGCATTATACCGACGTAGATGAGAACTCCGGTCTGTACTGTTTCCAAGAGTTTCTGGACACTCTGCCTGCTGGTCCGGTACCAGGCGTTCGACCTGTGACCCAAGAAAGTTTGACTGCCAACTCGCTGTATTTGAACGGGGTGTTCGCAAACGAAAGGCACAGCAAAGGGTTCACCCTGACGACGCAATTCGAAGTGTTGGTACACGGAAAAGATTTCAACGATTATTTAACGGAAAGAATTGAAAAAGTCAAAAACGGCTCTACCCTTTCTTTTCGAGAGTACATCATCAATCTGAGTTGGATCCACATGCACGTGCTGATCATTTTAGACATGATGTTGTTGCGAATATTTTATAATTTCTTGGAGGAGTTGACATTGTTAGATGATAAACAATGGAAGATACAAATAGCCAAGTTCTTCATACCTTACAGTGAATGGTGTGTTTTTTTGCACCTTCCCAAAAATAACCAGTTCTACCTGTTGCTAAAAGAAAAAAACGAGAAAAATTACGATTACCGTAGGTATTTCAAGGCAGGAAAGTTTGGAATCAAACAATTACAGCGACTGGTGATGGATATGATGATGAAAACCAGACATTTGCCACTTGTCGGCACACAAAATCACGAGGTCCAATCGCTGATGAAGAAGAAATTAAATGGAAACTGGCTAGTCGATACGGCAAGAGAATATAACATTATGTTCGACGCCACATTGATCAGCCCGTTGGAGTATCCCACTAACAAGGCCATTCTGTGCTTGAAAGTGTTGACCGGGTTTTTAAAACAGATTTTACCTAATATCCATCTCAAAGCGGTTAAATCGTTAGCTAAGCTCAAATCGTCGAAACTTTTGACACATTTTCCATAGTATCCTTCTTCACATCGTTGAATCAATGTCATATGCTTTTGGCTGTATTCATGTGTAGTATGTAAATACCAATCATGTTTATTAAAACTCATTTATAAAACTTTATGCGCAAAATAATAATACATTTGCACTCCAGATAAATATTGTAATATTACAACTGTTTAAAATAAAACAATATCATCCGTATGCAAGTTTTCATATTAGTATCCAATGTCCACGTTTTCATTCTTATATTCAACATCAGTGTGTGTAATACATTTATAATCATATCAAGAATTGTTAGTTATTTCTTATTATACATTTTTCATGATTTATACGCTATAAAATTTTGGTAATCGCTCAGTCTACGTTTCACCAAGAAGTGTCTTTTTGGAAGTCTTTTAATATAATGCTAATTATATTTCGGACGGTCCAATGAGAGCATTATATTTATAGTCTGGGTCATAATCTAATTCTGTTATGATATTTAATCAATTTCATCCTCTTAGAAGCGTGGACGAGCGCTTGACGCGTACTCAATGTGATACAATAGATCGGAGTTCAAACTTGTGTCACCCAATATATTTTGTAATGTTTAAGCTAAAACTAACGCTGAGCGAATTTGTTACAACTTACAGGTACCATATATATATTCAACTATTAGGGTGGTCGTTATAACAGGATTGGAATTTTAATCACACCTCCCACCTTAATTGATTTGTATTTGATAAAAAAATATTTCCTTAAAAGATCCTAATATTAGCAAATTAGGAGCAAATCCTAATTGTAAATTTATCTGACAAAAGGAAAAAAAACAATTTTTAGGATTTTTGCCCACAAATATTTAAAAATTGTTTTTTTAACTGCCATTTTGAATATATTCATAAAACGAAATATTTTACATTTTTAATAAAATAACGTGAAAAAATTACACAGGTCCGATGGTTTTAATAAGTACCGTTTCTTTAATATTTGTCTTACGACTATACAGGGTGTCCCACAAAGATTAGACTAATTAAATAACTTTTGTTCTAGTGAACATTTCTAAATAATTTTTTTTAAATTAATTGATTCTCATTGCGGTATAAACATCCCGTAAGATGCGTATTTAAAATATTTGTGGTTACACAAAAATGTATAATTGTATCCGCTTAATGCCAAAATGCGTGTTGGAAAAGTTAAAAAAATAACAAAACTAGACAAACCAGTACAGTGGTGACGGAGCATATTGGGTCGGAGGGGATCACAGGCTTATAAGACTTTTTGAAGCTGGAAATACATAAATTTATCTGTTGTTTTTCTCGATTGCAAAAACCAAGGTGTTTCATTTTGAGTATACAAGTGTTGCACGATCTAAAACTTTTGAAATGTACCGACGAAATTTAAAATTATTTTGAAAAAAACCTGCCGTTATTAGGAATAATAAATTTACACGTATACATTATATGCAAATATTACAAATAATCGTTAGATACTCTTAAACGGAATTTATTAGTACTACGTATAAAGGTACAACATTTCCATACAAACTTGGAATTAATTAGACTTATTTTAAAATGTATTTTCCAATTTTTAAGTTGAAAATGCAAAATTATACAAAATTTGAAATATTTCTCAAGAATTTAAACGGTTAAATATCTGAAAGACTCTATGCTTATTTTTAAACAAGAACATTGTTTTTGAAATTTTGGGGCTAATAGAAGAAAAAGTATTAAATACTCTCTTAAAGAAAATATTTTATATGTAACATTTTGATTTTAGTTTCGATGCAAAGCGGAGAAGGTATTGGTTTTACTATGGTGTGGGCTTATTTTGTTTTTTTGGATATTTTAGCCGTAGTTTTAAGACCCTTAAGTTGAAAATTTGTCAGTAGTTAGAACTCAAATGTATCCATAATATATTAAACGAGGAAAAAATTCGGCACTACAATTTTTCTTTAATTGCCGGAAAACTGTGTTTTTCGCAGATTTCGGATATTTTAAAAAAAAACACCTAAAATCTTGAAAAAATTGCATAAAATCAAAAAAAAAAATGTATGTAGATCTATGCAGAAAGATACTATTATGTTTTACTACTTTTTACTCATTTTTAGCTTTTAATTAAAATTTTTATTTTTATCTAACTTTTTTTTGGCTGAGTAAAATTGAAACTTGATATTAAATTCGCAATCATCGACCCCAAAAAAAAATAATTTGACCACTTTTGAAGTCTTTTACACAAAAATCCAAAAAAATATTTTAGCTTAGTTGCAAAGCGGAGAAGGTATTAGTTTTACTATAATATGGGCTTTATTTTTGTCGTAACATATACACCTGATAGGTAGTATATACTTGTTTTTCTGTAGTTGCAAAAAACAAAAATGACATTACAAATAATAAAATTTACATGACGTTTATCGCGTATTGGCTTAGTGCACTGTTTTCTCTTGTTGTCAAACTAATCGTACACTCGAAAAAACCGGCTCGAATGGTTGAAGAACAAAAAAAATATTTACACATCTCCCAACCAAAATCATACACTCTCGTATTCGCAGTCAATCCAGTTCTTGCGATAGTAGCTCGGCGCGTGAACCGCATGCAATAACAATTTCGTTTATTTTATTTTCATTGAAGATTATTCTTACTCGAGTACTTGCGTCTCACTGTATATTGTAAGTATGCCGAAAATGGCGCTCCGATTTAAGTGTACCGCATCGGTTATTACCTTGTTGTCGGCCTTGGTTAACGTGGCGGACTGTGGGTTGGGACACACCACGTGTTTTAAAGCAAGTACATCAGACAGCGAACCAAATCCGTACCAACACATTCTCCAGTTCAATAGAGGACAATTCCAACGTATACAGTGGCTGACGGCACCCAATCTGAACCAAAATTACTCGGTCTTAACGGCTTCCGAAATAGGTAAGGAAATCAAATGCAACGACGCGTACTATACGTTGAGGTATCTGTATATGACGAATCCGAGGAACTTTAGTGATCGCAACCAAGTGTTTGCAATACACAAGGCCATCAACGAACAGTATTCGGGGTGGACGATGAAAATGTTGGCGACTTCGTTCAACGTGGCCCAGAACGACATCGAAATGGACGTGCCGTGGCTGATGTATTTGTACATCAATTGGATAGAAGAGCGCACTGCCAATTATGTGGGCAGCGAAATGCGGACGTTCATACAGCTCGCTCACGACGGGATGATTAAAGCGGTAGAAACCGCGATGCAGGATAATGATTGCACCATGTTCTTTCCGGAGGTCGAAGGGGTTCCGGTGTCTGAGCGAAAATTCTCCGAGTACAAGGTTGGCATGGACAATTGGAGACCGACAAATGACAATAAAGAAAACGCGGATGCGGTGTCGGCAGTTCTGGGCGAGCATTATACCGACGTAGATGAGAACTCCGGTCTGTACTGTTTCCAAGAGTTTCTGGACACTCTGCCTGCTGGTCCGGTACCAGGCGTTCGACCTGTGACCCAAGAAAGTTTGACTGCCAACTCGCTGTATTTGAACGGGGTGTTCGCAAACGAAAGGCACAGCAAAGGGTTCACCCTGACGACGCAATTCGAAGTGTTGGTACACGGAAAAGATTTCAACGATTATTTAACGGAAAGAATTGAAAAAGTCAAAAACGGCTCTACTCTTTCTTTTCGAGAGTACATCATCAATCTGAGTTGGATCCACATGCACGTGCGATCATTTTAGACATGATGTTGTTGCGAATATTTTATAATTTCTTGGAGGAGTTGACATTGTTAGATGATAAACAATGGAAGATACAAATAGCCAAGTTCTTCATACCTTACAGTGAATGGTGTGTTTTTTTGCACCTTCCCAAAAATAACCAGTTCTACCTGTTGCTAAAAGAAAAAAACGAGAAAAATTACGATTACCGTAGGTATTTCAAGGCAGGAAAGTTTGGAATCAAACAATTACAGCGACTGGTGATGGATATGATGATGAAAACCAGACATTTGCCACTTGTCGGCACACAAAATCACGAGGTCCAATCGCTGATGAAGAAGAAATTAAATGGAAACTGGCTAGTCGATACGGCAAGAGAATATAACATTATGTTCGACGCCACATTGATCAGCCCGTTGGAGTATCCCACTAACAAGGCCATTCTGTGCTTGAAAGTGTTGACCGGGTTTTTAAAACAGATTTTACCTAATATCCATCTCAAAGCGGTTAAATCGTTAGCTAAGCTCAAATCGTCGAAACTTTTGACACATTTTCCATGGTACCTTCTTCACATCGTTGAATCAATGTCATATGCTTTTGGCTGTATTCATGTGTAGTATGTAAATACCAATCATGTTTATTAAAACTCATTTATAAAACTTTATGCGCAAAATAATAATACATTTGCACTCCAGATAAATATTGTAATATTACAACTGTTTAAAATAAAACAATATCATCCGTATGCAAGTTTTCATATTAGTATCCAATGTCCACGTTTTCATTCTTATATTCAACATCAGTGTGTGTAATACATTTATAATCATATCAAGAATTGTTAGTTATTTCTTATTATACATTTTTCATGATTTATACGCTATAAAATTTTGGTAATCGCTCAGTCTACGTTTCACCAAGAAGTGTCTTTTTGGAAGTCTTTTAATATAATGCTAATTATATTTCGGACGGTCCAATGAGAGCATTATATTTATAGTCTGGGTCATAATCTAATTCTGTTATGATATTTAATCAATTTCATCCTCTTAGAAGCGTGGACGAGCGCTTGACGCGTACTCAATGTGATACAATAGATCGGAGTTCAAACTTGTGTCACCCAATATATTTTGTAATGTTTAACGGTTAAATAGTTTAGTTATTGCTCAGTCTACATTTTCACTAAGAAGAATCTTGGACATCTTCTAATATAATCTTGGTTATATTTCGGACGGTCCATTGAGAACGTAATATTGATAGTCTGGGTCATAATCTAATGCTGTTATAATAATTGAATTATATTATGTTAAATTTAAAATTTAATTGAACCTACTCCACACAAATCTGAAAGACATTTTACTTCATCCGCGAGTACCTTCTAGCACTGTTTTTTAAATACATTATATTGAATATGTTATTTATAATTATAACATATTCTATCATTAAGCCGAATTATAAACTTTATTATAGTGAAATTTCGAAAATAATTAATTTGGTTACAATTTACAGGTACCATTCATATCTATATAAATATAGTTATTAAGAAAGTCGTTATAATAGGGTTAACCATTTAATCACACCCCTCACCCCAATCGTCTCGAATTTAATAAAAAAATAGACACGTCGATTTTTCTTATAACCGATTTACCATATTTAATTAATTGATGTGAACACCCATCCAAATGGTCACAGGACTATGAATTATTATGAATAATAAATTCACAAAGTTAGTGTGATTAAGTAAATGTTCGGTGTAATAGCGAACAATTTTGTCTTTTTTGAATTTTCAATGTATAAAACGATTGCCTTTAAATGGTTTTGCTTTTGTGTGAGCACTTTTCAATATAATATTGTCATATTAAAATTCGAAGGGTAAAATAAATCATAGGTTGACAATATATGAGAATATTTTTTTTCAACTGCCATATTGAATATTGAAAGTTTTTAAGCCAAAGCAAAATTAGAAAAGCCAGTACAGCGGTGACGAAGAATATTGAGACGGTGGAGGGGGAGGGGATTACAGGTCTGTAAGAATTCTTATAAGTTGGAAAATATGCAAATGTGTCGGTGGTTTTTCTCGGTTACAAATATCAAGGTGTATCATTGTTTGTGTGTATGCAAGTGTCTCACAATCTATCACGTTAAAAAATGTAACGACTGAAGTTACAATAACTGAGGAAAAAAAAACCTGCCGTACTTACAAATAATAACCGTACACGTATGTACAATGTGCAAATATTAAAAGTAATGTCTAAAAGTAAAAAATTCTATACGAACGGTGTATACCACTTTTTATACATACATTTATCCAACTCTGAGTTTTAAGATTTTAAGTCTGAAAGCTAGACCGATGGTAGATATAGAGTGAGACTACATACTATTTATAGTACACAATTTGTTCAATCATCTGTTGTTGACCTTTTTTATTATTATTATGGAAAAAAAAATATAAAAGTTACACTTTGACTGTTTATCTATGGTGATTAATTACCGTAGACAGACGATCAGCCCTAATTGTATCCGTCTATAATAACAAAAATACATTTTTAAGAGCATTATTGTCTTTAATCTCATTTTTTCGTGGGATGATTGCTTTCTGCATAATGCCCATTAAATGTATGTTTATTTGGTATACATCGTGTTAGGAATAAAATGCTGTTTTTTAGGGGCAATTATTATTTGTTATTATGTCAACTGATTGGTTAAATATTTGTGTTGGGATATTGCATGTTCGACAATTAGTGTACACGTGGGAATTAGTTGAATAAACGATTTGGAGAGGAAAATGCTGATTGAATGAAAACGGATTTATTATTTAGTCATCGTTATACTTACTAATGCGACAGCATTAATCATACCGTATGTACTGAAAACCGAATCGACCGAATCAGCATAAAACCTCATCCAAAAGTTGATTATTATCAAAATAAGAGAAATTATATAAGCCAAATTTCAAAGCGGTTCAGCTTGAATGAATTGTTTTTCTATTGTGGTAGTGTTAAAACTAAATTAGCTGGCGTGTAATCTAGAAGCTCAAAGTGAATAAATCAGGGATAAAGTCACTTGGGAACAGCCGACGAAATCCTATTAAACGGCTGGCCGATGCGGTCGCATAATCTCTGCTCTCTTTGTCGTTCTCAGAGTAGCATTGCCGTCAATCTTAATTGTTATACCAGGGAAAGGAGGTGATTCAGTGTATTTAATGGATCAAAACTGGGTTAAGCAAAATCCGATTAAATTTCATGCTGTTCAATTTTCGAACAGTTCATTTCCACGTTGAATGAAAGGGCGTGATTAATGATTGAGAATTTAAATATGCAAATAGGAAGAGCTAATTGGACCATGGCTACACTCGACACAAACCCGCGGTACACATTTTATTGAAAAATCTCGGTTTAGTAATATTTTGTACATTTTTCGATGATTTTTGTCGAGATGATAAATTATTCGTAGAAATGTAAATATTTATTATTTTAATTAAAATGACAGTATACAATAATATAGTCGATAAAGTAACAAAAGTTATCGATTTGGTGAATATATTTTTATTTATTTTTATACAAAAGCGAAATAATATATTTTACAAATTATTTTTCGGTTAAGTCTGATAACACCAAAAGTTTTGGTGGATTTTACTCAGAATTCCAGAACAATAAAGCGAAGCTGTTGTTGTTGTTTTTTTTTTTTTAATGTGAGACCGACAGAAGGCGGTGGGGGGATTGTCTAATAATTATCATCATGCCTGACGGTGAAGCCGAATTAATGATTTCTCAAACACTTTACTCGAGTCCTGGTTTGTTTCAACGGCTGTCGGGGGGCCAATGTCGTTACGGCAAATCGCATTTGCGTTTTACATTTAGCGGTATCCATTATAGTACTATAGTTTTGCAAACGTTACACCGGGGATGGCTCGACGGGCAAACGATCGGCGGTTGAATAATGGCCAGCGGGTACGTGAAATATGACCTGTCACCGAACCATAGGCATTCAGAGAGAGAGAGAATTTTGAGTCCAAAGCAGCGTTATACCTGCCACCAAAATCCAATGCTTTACCGCAGACCGATTAGAAATCCCACGGTAAGGTGTACGAGCACAGGTAACACGGGTAAACTTACACAATTGTTCAGGAAGCGAGTGGAACTTCTTTGAATGATATGGTATGAAATAATTTCACTCGATTCGATTTTGCAGATTTTGTGTGCTAGCATCAAATGTGTCTGAATAATTCATATGAGACATTGGGGTGAGTAGGGGAAGTAACCCCCTTAACCGCCCATCTGGTTTAGCCCGTGCTCGTTGTCCAACCGGGCCGGAATAAATTGGCCTCGTTTCGGATGCTATTATTTAATCATTATTGTAGTGTTGGGTCTGCAGTACACTATTATTGGAACGAGGTCAGTTTTAAATTATAACGTCACCCTACAGCTATTGTTGTAGTATTTATTTATGTTGTCGAGTACAAATAATATGCACAATACTGTTCATTAATAATTATTATATTATCAAACAAACTCGGCCGTTCTGCAATGGAGAGGTCTCCCGTCGATCGTTAATTATAATTTTATTATTGTTATAAACCTTTCAATGCGGATTCCATAATGGGCTAAATATAAATTCCACGAGACGCCAGACGATTGCTATGGTCGAATGATCCGAAACATGTATTTATTAGACATTTGGACGTGGAAATGTTTATTTTAAGTGTAGGTAGACCGGCAACGTTCATTCGTTCTCGAGATAAATAAAAACGTTCCTGCCGACATGCCAAAGACTCGCCGTGGCTTTTGGAACCACATCAGTAAATTAACTTAAGTATTAGTCAGACAACGGTAGCTGATTAAACGGTTGCAATAATATAATTTTATAGTTAAATATAGTATTTTGTAAACAGAATTGTATTGCAGGACTCGAGTCAATTGGGTTAAGTTCGGCCACCAAAACAGATTTCTAAACTGACTTTTAAATTAACGCCCAAAGCTCTGAACTATAGTCAATAGTCTATAGGAAATTTTATTACAAGAAGTAAATGTTTATGAAAATGTTACTTTAAAAAAAAAACAATGGCTTGTTCGCCATGCTAATATATATTTTTTTTTTGTTGATATTTACAAAGTTTTAATAAATGTACTCTGTGTTTACCAAAGGTACACATATTATGAAACATTATTATTTTGTTTATGTATTCGACACGAGTAAATGAACCCAAGGCGACGGGCATGGAGTTGTTATATATATATAGAGATACAGACCATCCCACGAGGGTCGGTCATAATATAAATAGGGGCATGGCTACGAGAGAAAACAACTACATTATCTCGTTATTTTTTTAATTTTTACTCGTTTATATTCACATCGTTCCTTTTTTATTATGGAACACACGATTCGCAATTGGTTTAAGTTAGATTAGGTTAGGCAGAGGCAGGATTAAAATTAGAAGAGAGTGTGGATATAGATAGATGGCATCGAATATTAGAAGCAGCGAAGGCCTTAAATGGGCTATGGAAGCCAAGAATAGAAGAGAGGTCTATTAACATCAGACATTAAGGATCCGGTTAGTTCGGGGCAGGCATTGCGGCGGTTGGCTTAAGAAAAATGTAAAATTATCTTGTCGCTATATTGACGTACACGACTTCCGCCGACACGAACGGAAGGAAATAGAAATAAACAACCGACGTGACGGGCTACACAAAAGCAACCCAGTGGTATGAAAAGTATATTTCAAAGAGAGGGGGGCGTTTTGTCAAGAACCTGATGGCCGCTGAGCATACGTGACCGGAATAGGGTTGTACGGCGTTCCGAGTAGGCAATTTCGTTGCGTCCACGTCGTGAAATAATTCCATAATTATTATTGTGGTCGGAGACCGATAATGGAAAATATATAAATTACCAGACAACGATGATGATAATAGTCCAGTCTACCTATTTACCTGCGTGGCTACCCGTCCAGAACTCGCCTCTAAAGCTCTAAATCTATCCTGTACACGTGGCTGCGGGAAAGGGACGGATTTAATAATGCAATATTCAACGGGCTACCTTTGCGGTTTGAGAATACGGAATTAGCGACACGTCCGGAAATCGTGTCTGGAAATTCATTAAGCCCCAGGTACGTGGGCAGGGGTGCTATAATATATCCAGAGAATTCGTAGATTGCTGCCCGGTTCGGTTAAGCCTACCTAAGCTGTGCACAGTGCAGTGCCGTCAGTTTAACAATTATTACAAACTCCTCGTTAAAAGAGACTCGATGCGGTGCACATCGAAGTCGACCCGTTGTGTGTTCACTTTCTCTTTGAAAAGTTATTTTTTAATTAAGTCCATCACAAACGGCCGGTTTTTTAACAGTTTTTGTCAATATTTATTTTCAAAGTAATATGCATAAGCTTCAGGGTATTGTTTTAAAATCGACATTGTCGTCTTTTTTTGGCAATAGCCATTTTGGTGGTAAAAAATGCTTCCGCTTTTAAAACATTGTGAGACTTAGGTTGATCCAATTTCAATTTTGCAAAGAGATAAAAGCGGGTTCGTCTCTACGCTGAATGCGATGTTCGTTTAAATAAATCAGTTGTTTTTTTTGTAATTAAATACATTTAATTTTAAAATGTTTTAATGTTAAAATGTAAGTTTTTACATAAAAAAATGAAAACATCCATATCCAACATAACCTAGCTAAAGTAGCTAAAGAACTTAAAAATATATTTTGGCTATAGTTCTATTCCAAACTGCTCTTAACTCATTTTTCATAATTTCTTGGACGTTTCCCTGTTGTACAAACTTCAGTATAAAATGGGCTTTTACTAAAATTGGATTATTTTACTATATTTATTCCCCAACAGTGATGTATTATAGCGTTTAAATACTTAAATATTAAATCAAATTAAAATTGAAGAATAAACGTGTATCGCTTTAATTTAAATAAACACATATGTATTTATATATATATATATATATATAATTTTATCAAAATACCAATTCCAGCCCTTTTTACATTTTATTTAATTTATAACATTACATAATGTTATCTAATACATAATTTTCGTTGACAATCCCTGCCTTTGGCCTCTTTTGTGCGCTGTGGCATTTTTAGAAAGGGAAAAGTAATCCGCCACTGTCCAATTCCCAAATCCCCATAAAAGATGACAAATTTTAGCCGGAAAAAAATACAAACTAAACAATAAAAATAGCGTTGAAATCGATTAAATCGGTGCCCTGGGAATGGCCGAAAGCTTATTTTTAGTTCTTTTTTATTATGTCGTTACAGAAAAAAAATGTTTTTTTTTTTAAATTCTGAAGCCGGAAATCAGATTTGCAGAGAACAGTTTTATAATTCCTATATTTTTTTTCTATGGGTAAATATATTAATCTCCGAATACTATAACGAAACCCATATATTTTAGCAATAATAATGTTTTTTTATTATTGTACAATGTCGATTTTGTTTTATGGCATTGCTTATATTTTATATGTATAGCCGTCGTATTCGACGTTTTATTAGATCTCAAATAATAGTAATAAAAACAAAATGCTAATAAAAAAAAACATACTTAGCTTCCCAAATTGTCTACTCAGTTTTGTCTATTACTCGAAGCTATAGTTATAGCTATAGTTATTAGTTTATAATTAGAAAAAACTACGGTTCATTACGTATCTTAAGACGTAGGAGCGTTTTCTAGGGGAAATAGATAATTCTCAGCTGATCATAAGACATGTTCACGATCCAAAGTCTCGCCTAACAAGATAACGTTTCTAAAGCGGAAGTGAGGGGAAAGGTGTAGATCTCAGCAACGCATTCTTATTGGTCTCGTGGCCGGGTTTCCTTGAGAATAAGACCAAGGCTAATTTTATCATCAGGACACGCGTTTTTCCACGGAGAAAAATCTAAGGCGGAACCGTCTGGAGAGGGCGAATGTTCGAATTAGGACCGTATTGACGGCTTGTCCGAGACTATAATATTTTTTTCGACCTGTTCGCGGCTGTAACCGTAGGCGTTTGCGTGTGGTCGACTGGGACACGTCCGGGACACGGAAAGGTACGTGACAGGAGGGTAGTCGGTCGTCAAGGGAATTGCAGTCACGTCCAACGACCCGGGGGCGAGAGGGTGTTTGGTGGCGAGCAGGAAGCCCAGGGGTCCGGCGCGACGAATTTCCGCTTCATTTATTTACCCGCGGCGCCGTTTAAACACACCACTTAGTTAACGGTTATCGTCGACAAATTTCATGCCGTTCTCGTCCAATAAAACGCCACAATAATAATCAATCACAAATATTTGAAGAACACCGCATTTTACACTACTTTGGGTGCGCGCCAACATCCGTTTACCTACTTCTGTCGGATCGTTTCGCAGATATTTCTCAAGAGACGACCAGCATTGTTCCCGCCGAATAGGCTACACTATTCATGTCCGCGCAAACGGGATTTTTCTTCCTTTACCTCCCCTCTACACCCACTCTCTCTCCTTTTGAAAATTGCCCACCTCGTTCAATACCACCGCAATATTGTCTCGAGAGTCCCGGCCATACGTTATCGTTACCGGATGACAGCCTTAGCCATTTTACGTCAAAACCATAATGCCACCACCGAGATGGTCCAGAGACAGATCGGTACTTCGTCCAAGTGTTGTTTCAATAGACTTTAAACCATCAAAAATTTGTACTCGTTCGAAATAGACCGTGGCAGTGACACAGATTAAAAAGGGTTAAAACGACAAGATACTACTACTTCTTTTTTTATAGTTATATTTGTATAATTTTTTGTTTTTTAATCGATTGTAATGAGATGGAGCTTGAGATATAACAGCTTGCGTATGAGTCTGCAACCACGGGAGACATTTTATGTTTTTTAAATTATCTATAAGGATAAAAGGATATAGACGGATACATTTTCGTTAGGTTTTTTGGTAACACTGTCGATTTTTCCGGTTGGGTGCCAAAGTAAAGACATAAAATGTCATAATGCCTATTGCAGATTGCATTACAAGCAAGGGTAATTTACTAGGTCATTGTCGATGAAGTGGCAAATCAATTGCCACAACCCGTTGACGTTGTTACTTCTCTAAGTATTAATAGTATTAATTATTTTATGGCTTCTGATCATGTGTACATGCATAATCGTGTTACCAACGTGAAAAATGGTTTTTTCGTGACGCTTATAAGCCAACGTCAGCTACCCATTTAGTATTTATAGTTTCGAGTACACGGGATAAAATATTAAGAGTACATGCACCGGTATTAATAATTCCTAGGCTTTGAAGATTAATAATTAAACATTTCCAACGGGTGATATTCGCATTAGTTATACATCAAGGACATGTTTTGTATACCTACGCTTTGTGGGTTGAAACTGATATTCGCGTGGATCTAAAAAGAATAACGTTGAAGTCGGATCTAATTTCAGAATGAAACTTTAATATTGTATTTCACGTGTACTTTGCTTAAATCACGATGGTTGTCCAAGTTCAATATTATAGCTAATTTAATAAATAAATAGTAATTCGTTATAACGCCATATACAAAATATGATGAATGATATATTTCATAATTCATTTTTTTGTAAAAAAAAAAAAAAAGCAATTGAAGACAGCAACTTGGACCCTTTTCTCTAAATCTACGCCTGTTTCGAAGAAATCAAAACAAAAGAATATAATTTATAGTTATATTGTTATTATATTGTGCGGAAGCTGCTGCGGTTGTTCTGCTCTGGTAACACCTAACTATTGTGGTTCTTAAATAATAATTAATCGCTTGTGCTTTATCGTCTTTTCTTTAACGCTTGAAAACCCTCGTCAGTTTCAATATATAAGTGACTGCAGAATTGCACCACAGTACTGCACTGACAGGAAGTGTAGCGGTGGACTGTTTTTGATTTTGGCTTTTTATTTGAACGAACATGTTATCAATATGCAATAACGGGTTTCTTTGGCCACACCGTCAATCGAAAAGTGTTACTAAAAAAGCGTGTACTCAACTTGTAAAGTTAGTCACATTCGATTAAATCCAAAAGGGGATCAGATATTATTTTGGCTATAAAATAACCCAAATATGTTGTGTGTTGATTTTACATGGAATGTTTACACCCTTTCACTGACCGTGTATGGTGACGGTGTTGTGTGACAAAACCTCATCGTCGGCGGCTCGTTGTTGTTCGGTTACAGGTATTTGGCGCAATAGCCGTAGGGTCACGTCCTTGGGGCTGCATCCCGGATGCCAGCTGACGAGCACTGCAGTCCTTTGGCCGGGAACAGCCACTTTGGGAGCGACCACATTGAAAACTCTGAAAGACAAAAAAAAATTCCACCGTTAATCGAATCGATATAATATATTATTTAACTGATGCAAAAATACCATATAATACAAGGTAATACAAGGCATCCCGTCCGTCTGATGTAAGACACTCCATTTGTGGTGCTTATTTTAATATGTTACTCAATACTTTGTAAACGTTTACCTTCATCCCTAAAAGAAGTATGGACTTGGTTTCTTCCAAATGGAAAGATATGTTTTAAATTCATAAACGAGACATTATATTTTTAACAATGTTAGCGTTTGAGTTTTTCATTTTTATTAATCTGTTAGTTAAATGACAGTTAAAAATTCAAAAGCTAACGTTTTTTTTTTTTGTCTAAATATTCATCGAATTAACAACAAATTTCCCCAATTTTTATCATGTCGACTGCTCAGTTAAATATTTGTGTGTTCAACAATTAATACATAAGTAGGAATTAGTTAATAGTAGCATAAATGCAATTAATTAGGTCAAAAATGTGAAAGCAGATTAGCTTTCAAACATTTATTTTAAAAGTTTGTATTAAAATTAAATTTTAAAAATTACCAGAAAACATAATTAAATTTTTTACATAAATTGCATTTTCATTAAAATAAGGTTTTTTTTAAAAATAACTATTAACCAGAATAATAATACTAGAAAACATTGTTTTTCAGAGTTGTTGTAATCAGAAAATTTAAGTTATTGAGAGTTCAAATACAACATAAATCAAATTTTTTGAAATACTGAAAAATGAAAAAAAGTTAAAAAAAAATCATGTTTAATTTATTCATATTGAATAATTGTTATTTTTTAAAGGAAACTTAAAGAGGAAATTGAACAAATAAACAATTAACTTAAGGTATTTTAGCTTCGATGCAAATCAGGGATGCTATATTTTTTATAAATTTATATTTAGATAAAATATTTATGTATTTAATTTATCTCGGGCGTTATTGGTATTTTGCGAAAAATTTAGCGCAGCAATTTAATTATGTTTGCCCAAAACTGAAGTGGGTTTACTCGAAATTTTGTCCGCTTGTTCCTGTAATTATGGCTGTTTGCTTACACGAAAGGTCTTTGATAAAATCCATTCAAAATTTGGTCGAAATATTGCTCTGAGGTAATACGGAAATATAATTCAAATTATTTATAATTTATATATATATATTGAATATAAAGAAAATGAGTTAAAAAAATAAACTATATTCTGTTTCATTCCTGGTAGCACTTTTTGTGAACGTTTTTTCAAGTGTAATTGAATTTTCATGCCTTTTACATTATTAGTTTTTTTTTTTTTTGTTTTTACTCGGAAATAAACTTTAATTCTTCATTAAATATACTTTCGCGAAGGATAATATTTGCGTCTCATTTAAATTATTTCCTTGAGTTAATTTGCATTTTAAAATTGACCGTGGCATTAGCCGGTAGATTACAATTATAATTAGCAGCGAATTTACCTCTAATGAAAAAAAATTAACATAATAATATCGCGAGCATCGTTTACGGACATCCTCGTGGGGTTTTCAATTATGCAACTCAATTTTCTCGGTTGACTAACACCACTGCGGATAATAAAGTGCAACATTATTATTATAAAAAGTCAGATGAAAATATAAAATATTGTCTTCTTACTTTTAAGTATTAATAGCTAAGCAGGACTATTAGATTGAGATTCACTATTACCACTTACTCATAACGGATTAATTAGTTGCCACATTAATATTGACACATTTACTGTCGCTTGCCTTAAAAAAATATTGACAGGCATACTATTGTTGTAAGAATAGCAAACGCTAACATGAAAACAACAATTTTTATTAGTTCTCTTTCATATTAAACATATAAAATCCACTTTAGAAAGGCTTCAAAAGCTAACAGGGCGAATATAATTGATTTGCACTAGCGACTTGATGAATTCAATGTATTTTTTTTTAGTTTAAGGTTCAACGAGGAGCTGAGAAGTAAAATTATTAACGATTCAAATTCTAAGCCATTAAATTTACCTTTTGATTTTAAATTAAACCCTCAGACGACATTATAATAACATTAGTATTTTCTGTCCAATATCTGTAGGGTTATTTTTTACTTTTATTACAATACCAAATTATTTGTATGTCTATTGTACAGAAAAAAACGGTAGGTATTATAATGCAATATAATATTATAGTACTTAGGTTGTAATGTAACACAATGGAAAATTTTTCCTATAATCTGACTGGCAAACTCACAAGTGCAGTTTAATATAACATTAATCTCTCTCTCTCAAAGCTCTGTAATGGCGTGTTCACATCAATCAAATCAAAAACCACATACAGCTTGTTCTACCTATTGTATTAGTAAAATACATTGACCATAATATATGGTTGGATAAAATACGAATAACTGAATAGGTAAAATATACCCAAGGGATTAAAATTATTCGACAACAAACTTTGATTATTTTTAAGCATTATTTCGGTTTGTTTAGATCACATTTTGAAACTATGGTGAAATATAATAAACTAGGATAAGGTGGGACAGCGTATAACGTCGGTAGTTTTTACTACTCTCTTATTCTTATTATGTTTTAAGTATATCGAGTTTAATCCTTAAGAAACCTCCTCGGAGATGGATATAGCGACGGCCCTGTTATAATGTTTTACATATTTAAAATGTTTTAAATAACTAAACTGGCGCGTTGATTACCATTCTATATGCATGAAGTGGTTTGAATTATTTATTTTATGATGCGCGTTTGAAAAGGTCAAAAATGTAATAACAGGGCTTGTAATCTTAACATTTTATAAGTATAGACTTTGCTTACAAATAGACAAATTAATATGATTTGGAACTGTTCAAAATCGTTGACCATTTGATTGTCAATTAATTAATTGGAAACTTATATTACATATTTTGAACAATTATAAGTGTAACTTGATTAATATGATAATCTATTGTATCGCTTAGTTTTTTTTTTTTGTAAGAAATAATTGATAACGGGTTGGAGTTATTTAATTGAAATTTTGGTTTTTGCTCTATTAATTATTTTTGATTTATACACGGTGCATATAGTTCATTATGTAACAAGTCCTGGTTGACGTTTAAAAATGTCCAAAGGACCGCCAAAGTGCGGTGTTTGCGGTCAAACGGATGACACGGGTCGGTAGTTTTGGAATGGCTGTTTCAATTTATCCGAATATATCAGCAGCGGCGGTAAATAATAAGCGATGCCAACAGATACTAATGGAACCGGCTTACAATGCAATTAAAATGATGCATATATAGTATATTATATTATTATTGTAAAACGCTGGGACGAGGCGGAAATGCGATAGGATTTATTATGATAAGTGGAAATCCGGCGTTTTCGACTAGCTAATTAAAGCACATCTCGCCCGGCGGCGGCAAACCCTATCATTTACATAAGTCTAACGCGGCGTCCAGACCAATTTGACGGTGTTAAAATTAATATCGAGCCGGGTTGTAATTTATACAGCGGCCATGTGCAAATTGGCGTTTAAATTTCTAAACGTGGAAAATATTTGCAAGTAGTGTTAACGGACGCTCCCTTGCTACACATATTGTTTAGGTTTTATATTCAGCCCATTTATACTTAATGTATGCACTTCTTCAGTGTTTGAAGTTCTCGTCGAGGTTCATATAAGTTTGCAGGAGTCTAGAATGTATTATAGTGTACTTTGAGCTTTGCAATATAGTTTCCCGTAGTAGTAAAAGCTCGCTCGACTTTAAAAGAGCCATAAAGTTAAACGTTATTTGATCGGATGCAATATCCTCCATGTGTACACCATAACCTATAGTGTATGTCGCTGTCTCGCACTGCGAACAGCAAACAAACGGGTTGGAAACTCGGTTAACTAACAGCAGCTGCTGGCTCTTTAATATGTATATATATATATATATATATATGATTATTCAAGTTGTATGTACAGTATTTTTTTATATGAAATAAAATCGTTATATTTAACGATACAATTGTATATAGAAAATAATTACTATAACATCAACTTTGGATAACCCTGTCTAATATTATGTATACCAAAAACAAAATATGCGCTAATAAAAAGGATAAAACCAGCTGTCGATGCAAGATTGTAAATTCCTTGCGGTGAAAAGGAGGAATTCACAAATTCCCTGCGAAAACGGGCAAAGTATAAAGGAGAGGTAAATAAATAGACAAGTAAATAAACCGTCGTGTACATTATTATCTGGTGAAATTGTTATGCGGGTCGCATTGCCCATTGCACAAGAGTGCCAAAAGTTTCAAGCAAACTGACAGTGTGATTGAGAATTTTCGTCGGACGCATTTCGCTTGTCAATTGCTACGGTAAAATCGATATTGGCAACTCCTTTGGTTAAAGTTTAAAATGTTTCCAAATTTGCACGGATTATTTCCTATCAATTCGCCCGTATTGGCAAAAAATGTATAAACAAATATCTAAAAATAGTTTTACTTTTGTATTATATTACCTAGAAGTAATACCTAACTGGAGTTTTTTTTTTTGTCTACTTGTCGCTGTCAATAAAAATATTCCAACGCTGTAATGACTTTTTATTGTGCAAAAACAAACTACAATAAAATATTGATTCTTGGTACTTTGGTTGTTTCAGTTTTTAATAAGCAATGTTGTTTGCCCGTCTCGGTGTGATTAACACGATAAAGTTTTCAGAAACTAAAAGTTTTATTTGTTTTATAAGGATGCATTTCAAAAGAAATATTTAAAGCGCAAGCAATTAAAATGTTTTTCATTAAACATCATTCTGTGTGTAAATGATTTTTGTAGTCTTAGAAAACATACTTAACCCGGGTACGAATATCTAGTGTTCTAACGAAGAAGTAGGAAAACTTGGGAAGTTCTGGTGTGTGGCTTACAGTGATGTGTTACTTTGAGTCGCAGTACAGTTTTAATTTTAGATTATAATTTGAATTTTAAAATAGTGACTATAGAAAATCAATAGATTAACGCGATGCTATTATTTATCAAGTACCTATTTGAAAATGTGGTGAT